ACTTAACACCGCCCACTAAGGGGGAGGAGACCGCCAAAAGATTTTAAAGTACCATTTCCATGGTAGCGCAATGTCCGATTTTAAAATGGTTTTCACAGAATGAATCTTGGGCTTCTATGCTTTTAAATGATATATAATGTATGATGATTACTAAAATATTTGATAGAGAAAAAGGACAACAAAAAAAGAGTGCCAAGCGTCCCACAGGTGGGATGGGGTTCACAAAAATAAAGTAAATAATAATAATAATAAAGATTATATAGTCTTTATTATTAAAGCTTTATTATAAAGCTCACATACTTCATATTTAAAAAAGTATTAAAACATTTTTATAAAATATATTTAAATATAAAATACATACTTATATATGGTCATATATTTATAATAAATATGACATTAATTTTCCTGCAGGAGAGTTTAAACTACTAACTTGCAACATATAGGGAAATTTTAACAAAATGGATTTGAGACTTAGACTCTGTTTCAAAAAACACATGCCTAGTTAACTTATCATAAACCTTAATTTCCACAGAGGAAGATCTTAGAATCATTGTTCCCCCTGAGGATGTTGACACACAGGAGAAAAAGACCATCAGCTTCACATGCAAGGTGAACATACCAAATGTAACAGTACAATGGATGAAGGCAGGTCAGGAAATCACTCTCAGCAAGAGAATTCTCTATCGTGTGGACAAGGACAAGCACACGCTGACCATTAAGGACTGCAGCCTTGCAGACGAGGGTGAATACAGTGTAGTTGCTGGTGCTGATAAGGCCACAGCAGAACTGATCATCAGTGAGGCACCCGCAGACTTCACCGCTCAGCTCAGTGACCAAACTATCATTGAGTTTGAGGATGCTGAGTTCACATGTGAACTTTCCAAAGAGAAGGCCGAAATCAAATGGTACAGAGATGGCAGGGAGATCAGAGAAGGACCCAGGTAAGATACGTTATTCTAAAGGGTTTTTGTCAAGGGGTTTTGTTGGTTTTGAGTATGTTTAATATGCATTTAATGTTTAATTTTAGATACCAATTTGAGAGAGATGGCAAAACATGTAGACTGCGTATAAAAGAGTGCAGACCAGATGATGAGTGTGAATATGCCTGTGGAGTGGATGACAAGAGAACAAGAGCCCGCCTCTTTGTTGAGGGTAAGTTTGTTTCAGTGTCCATTAACTACCTGGAAATATCAGGGAATTTTAGTAAATGTAATCTCCGGGTATAGAAAAGTAATGGAAATTAATAGGAACTTAAATGGTCTTTATGACTTTGTCACCTCTTTAGAGACCCCTGTGGAGATTGTCAGACCACCCACAGATGTGTTTGAGCCCCCAGGCTCAGATGTTGTGTATGAAGTTGAGCTTAACAAAGACAGAGTTGAGATCAAATGGCTGAGGAACAACATGACCGTTGTTCAAGGTGATAAGTACCAGATGATGAGTGAGGGTAAGATACACAGGCTTCAAGTGTGTGAAATCAGGCCACGTGATCAAGGCGAGTACAGAGTCATTGCCAAGGACAAAGATGCCAGAGCCAAGCTTGAGCTTGCTGGTAAGATTAATTTATATATATATATATATATATATATATATATATATAATGAAAAAATGAAATGTTTTACAACCAAAACAAAATCAAATTGAATAAGTTTACAATGCCTTGGTATTTCTCCACAGCCGTGCCAACAATTAAAACCTTGGATCAAGACCTGGTGACAGACGCTGGAAAGCCATTTGTTATGGCAGTTCCTTACAATGCTTACCCACAGGCTGAGGCTGATGAAGAGCGAGTATCTCGTGAGGGAAAACCGCAAATACTACCTCGATCTGAAGGAGAACCAGCGCGGGAGATTCCTGCGGATCCGGCAGACCGTTAACCGCGGCGGATTCGGTGTTCCCGGCGGCGGCGGTGGAGGAATTCAATCCGGGCAAACTATCGCTCTTCCCGCTCAAGGTCTCATCGAGTTCCGCGACGCGCTGGCGAAGCTGGTCGACGACTACGGCGGCGACGACGAGGAGCTAGCCTGCTCCGGCGGAGGAGGAGGAGGAGGTTACACGGAGTTACCCGAGGGCACGTCGATAACGGTGGACTCCAAGCGGTTCTTCTTTGACGTGGGCTCCAACAAGTACGGCGTGTTTCTGCGTGTGAGCGAGGTGAAGCCCAGCTACAGAAACTCTATCACGATCCCCTTCAAAGCGTGGAGCAAATTCGGCGGAGCGTTCTGCCGCTACGCCGAGGAGATGAAGGAGATCCAGGAGCGGCACAAAGATAAAGCGTTCGAGCGGAGAACCGGAGAGGAGTCTGAGGGCGAAGATTTGGACGACGACTGACCGCCGGAGGTGTCGCGTCGCTGGGCAACCGCGCAGAGCGAGAGCCGCGCTCTGGAGAGGGCTGCATGGAACGGTCGATGGCGAAAAAAAATATGTTTGACTGAGAAACACTGTCGTGTATATGTAAGAGAATCCTGTTTAAAGCAGTTTAGACTATGTTTGGCTAGGTAAATGGATTTTTCTGCTGGCTGCTCTCTGTAGGTCTTGTCATTTTGAAAGTTTGCCCCTTTATAAAGAAAGAAAACAAACAAACACCCTTTTTCACACAGAGTCTGAGTTCACAAGCAGGGATGTTATAGTGTTAGTGTGTCAAGAAGAACTGATGATTATCTCTACTATAGGTGTTTTTGGTGTTGTACCATACGATGGAGAGCAAACCAGCATCATCTGAATGATGTGTGAATCTCATAGTTAGCTCATTCAGGACGTGTTCTCTACTAATTTGTGTGTGTGTATATATACATATATATAAAAGACTCGGATCAAACAGTGTAAAAATTGGAGGTTGTTATAGAGTTCAACTTGTGGACACACAATACAGTTCAAGCAACAATGTACAAACAGTTCAAATGGTGCTATAAAACCGTGCTCCGCCGGCGCGCTGTGAAGATTGAGGTTCACGCGGGCTGGTGAGTTTTATTTTGTTTTCCTACTGCATCTTGAGAGCAAATTACTCTTGATTGTATGTACTAAATTGGGAAGTGCATTGGTGCTGATGCCGCTAAATTTACCATTGATACTGGGTTTGATTTGGCTCTTTTAAAGGGAATGATACTGGTTTGCCTGACATCAAGCCGGGACAAATTAGTAGTTTTCGAATTTAATACATGGAGAGCTTTGGTGACATAACTGGAAAGGAAATCAAATGCAGAACAACACCCAACTGGGTTTAAATAGATTTATTTTTAAAAACAATATACAGAAAAAAAAATTATATATATATATATATACAGAAATATATTTATATATAGACATATAGAATCAATTATAAACGCTTCCTGAACAGGCTATTTAAACAAATAAAACTCGGATGCAATTATACATAGGGAAATATTTCTTACTCGTTTTCCATACATTTCCTATAGTCTTTATGGTTGAAAGAGCATAGAAAAAGAATGACAAAATTGTGAAATATACAAACTAGACTAGTTCTCAGTTTAGTTTGTATTCCTTTTTTCAACAACCCAAATGACAATATAACACTATTCTTTTTTTTTTTTCTCAAGTCTCTTCCTCTGTATATTAAGTTGTCACATTTCTGAGTCTTACTGCAGCCTGTTTTCTCCTCTTCTCCCAGATCTGTCCAAATGTGTGTGCCTGTTAGCAACTTCCCTCTGTTATCCTTCTCTTACTGATATTGAGTGGGTGTTTATGCATTTATAATTTGATCAGAGAAAAAGGAGTGAACTCCCTTTCGTTTTAATTTTCAGGCCTTCTGTAACCACAAGAATTAGCCATACACACCACCTTGGAGCCATAGTGATTTTTTACTAATTTCACTATTCATATAAGTTTTGACCTCATTCTTGTCTGTACTGTGTTATGTGATAAAGGCAGCTCTTCAGTCAAGTGTGTACTGCTGTAATTCTCCACAGACTTCCTTTGAACAATAAATAGAATTACTTTGCTGAGAACATGAGTTTGTTTTTTGTTTTACTCTTTCACAATTCTTGACAGCTGTGTTTCTTCTGCACCGTAAGCATCGCCGAACAGATTTGCAAAAATAATGTTTTCAATCAGCTTTTCCAGTCTACTACAGCTTCTAGTGAAATGATCATTGTGGGTTATCGAGGCCTCATGCAACTGCTGTCAGTAAATCATAATCATCCAGGGCTTCTGCAAACTCTCAAAACAATCATATTTACACTTTACAAAATGTAAATCATAATCTTCTTATGTTTAGTCCATAACCTGCAGTAGTTCTTATAGTCATGCATCTTATTGATCTCGGCTGCATCTTATTTTAGTGTCGTTGAGTTTTTTGTAATATTTTGAATTAATTTTTATTGTCATATTTACGTTTTTATTTCAATTTTAGTTTAAATATTTGTTGTAAAACATTTCATTTTTAATTTATATATATATATATATATATATATATATATATAATGAAAAAATGAAATGTTTTACAACCAAAACAAAATCAAATTGAATAAGTTTACAATGCCTTGGTATTTCTCCACAGCCGTGCCAACAATTAAAACCTTGGATCAAGACCTGGTGACAGACGCTGGAAAGCCATTTGTTATGGCAGTTCCTTACAATGCTTACCCACAGGCTGAGGCTGAGTGGTTCTACAATGACATCAGTCTTCCAAAAGACAATGTTCACACTTCTGTTGACAGGACAGAATATAGGCTGAAGGACCCAAAGAAGTCAGAGGAAGGCCGCTATAAAATCCTCATCCAAAACAAACATGGAAAAGGAGAGGCTTTTATAAACCTAAAAGTTATTGGTTAGTAATATTCATAGTATATCAGTTAGTTTCAGTAAAACATTCTAGGATTATATTGTTGCTTACAAATGTTGCTCCTTTCACAGATGTTCCTGGGCCTGTGAAGAACCTTCAGGTTGTTGACACTGCTGATGGTGAGGTCAGCATTGCATGGGAAGAGCCAGAGAGTGACGGTGGCAGCAAGATCTTGGCTTATGTGGTTGAAAGACGTGATATCAAACGTAAGACCTGGACTCTGGCCACTGACTGTGCCGATAGCACAGAGTACTGTGTAACTGGCTTGCAGAAAGACTCCAAGTACCTCTTCCGTGTCTGTGCACGTAACCGAATCGGAAGTGGGCCCAATGTTGAGACAGATAAAGCTGTTCAAGCTAAGAATAAGTTTGGTAAGTCAAGAAAATCTGAAAGTCAAGTTGTACACACTAACGGGTGATTCTAATTGTGGTTTTTAATTTTACACACTCCAGATGTTCCTGATCCACCACAGAATGTTATTGTTGGAAATGTCAACAAGTTTGGTGCCACAGTCTCCTGGGAACCACCACTGTTCAATGGTGGATCTGAGATCACATCATACATTATTGAGCTCCGTGACAGAACTTCTGTGAGCTGGTCTCCAGTCATGGTGACCAAACCACACGAACGCTCAGCTATTATTAATGATGTTATTGAGAACAAAGAATACATCTTCCGTGTTAAGGCTGAGAACAAGGCTGGAATTGGCAAACCAAGTGCTGCCACTAACCCAGTGAAGATCATGGACCCTATTGGTTTGTAAAATCCCATATATCATTAATTTTAGCATACATGAATGCATTCATACCTAATAAATGCATCGTAATGTTTTGATCCACAGAGAGGCCGAGCCCTCCACTGAATTTGACACACTCTGAGCAGACAAAGGACTCCTGTCTGTTGACATGGGAGACTCCCTTAAAAAATGGAGGCACAACAATCACTGGCTACATCATTGAGAGATGTGAAGAAGGCACAGACAAGTGGCTCAGATGCAATGCCAGGCTTTGCCAGGACCTGCTCTACAGGGTAATCTTTGCCAAAGACTATATATATATGTACATACACCAAGATGGTTCACTCATATTACAATGAATGGGAGTAAGTGCAATGCACAGTATGGTGGAATAAGCCCTGCTTTCTAAATAAAAGAGTAGTCATCGTGACCCTCCAGCTGCTATTAGAATCTCCGGTTCCCATAGAGATGTGCGCTTAGGAATGCACTTGCATTTTCAACCTGAAATATAGGCTATTTAAGCATAGATTTTAATGTGAGTTTGGCAAGCAGTTTTTGAGATTGTTATTTTCCAATTCAAGTAAATAGGAGTTGGTCTTTTATGCCTAGCTGCCCAGAAGCATTGTGAATATGGTTGCCGAGTGAACTGACTTTTCTTTGCTTCCTGTTATAGTGTGTATTAGTATTGTTATGTAATGCTTATGTTGACATGCATTCCACAGATTTCAGGCCTGAAATTTGGAACAAAATACAGCTATAGAGTACTTGCTGAGAATGCGGCCGGCCAGTCTGACCCCTCAAATATTGTTGGGCCTGTGTTGGCAGATGATCCCCACTGTAAGTGATTTCCGTACCATTGCACCCTACATAATCTTTGATATATCTGAACCTTTTTTAAAAATTGTTTAACACATGATGTGCTTCTCTTGTCACAGTTGCACCTACTCTGGACCTGAGCGCATTTAAGGATGGTCTAGAGGTTATTGTCCCTAATCCTCTTGCAATTCGTGTCCCTATCACTGGGTACCCGGTGCCCACAGCAAAGTGGACCTTCGGTGAAAATGCACTTACAGCTGATGACCGTGTGTCCATGGTTACAAAGTCAACCTTCACAGAGCTCATTGTAACCCCAAGTGTGCGCCCTGACAAAGGCACATACTCCTTGACGTTGGAAAATGATGTGACTAGTGTCTCAGGAGAGATTGAAGTTAATGTCATTGGTATGCACAGAATTTTCTTATAGACATGTATACATCAATTTACAGTTCAGAAAGTAAAAAGTTAAGTGTTATACTTTATTTTACTCTCAATTCAAGCCTCTCCAAGTGCACCCAAAGACTTAAAGGTTGCAGAAGTGACCAGAAAGCATGTTCACTTGATGTGGGAGGCACCTGATCACAATGGAGGCAGTCCAATCACAGGCTATCAGGTTGAGAAGCGTGAGGTTTCCAGGAAGACCTGGGTGAAGGTATAAACATTACTAATATCTTTGACCATTATTTTCTTTGAATGGTACTGTGAACCTACAGTGATCACTTTCCTTGTGTTTATGTGATTTTAGGTGATGGCAGGTTTGCAAGACCAGGAATACACAGTCGCAGATGTTGTTGAGGGCAAGGAGTACTTGTTCAGAGTTATTGCCTGCAACAAATGTGGTCCTGGAGAGCCCGCCTACATTGATGACCCAGTGAACGTGTCTTCACCTGCAAGTGCGTGTTAATACTAATGATAGATTAGTCAGTGTTAAATATTTGCAATATCAAATCATTCATAATTTCTCTTGTGTGTGCATCTGTGTTATTTACAGCTATACCAGACCCACCAGAAAATCTTAAATGGAGAGACAAGTCTGCTAGCAAGATCTTCTTGTCATGGGAGCCTCCCAAGTGGGATGGTGGAACTGCAATTAAAGGTTATATTGTTGACAAATGTCAACGTGGCACTGACAAGTGGGAACCATGTGGAGACCCAGTTCCTGATCTTAAGTAAGTGATCATTTTCAAATGAATTACTCTTCAAACTGAATTAAGTTGCTTACATGTATAAGTTAAACTAAATTAATTTTACAAACAGGTTTGAAGTGACTGGTCTCATTGAAGGACAGTGGTATGCTTATCGTGTGAGGGCTTTGAACAAACTGGGTGCCGGTAAGCCTTGTAAGGCGACAGATGAGATTTTGGCCGTTGATCCTAAAGGTACTTTATTAGATTATGATTTGACATTCAGAGACATTAGGAGTTGAAGTTTAATGTTTATTTGATTTACTTACCACTTTCACAGAGCCTCCAGAGATTCAGCTGGATGCAAAACTGCTGGCTGGCCTCACTGCTAAGGCTGGCACAAAGATTGAACTTCCTGCTGACATCACAGGCAAACCAGAGCCTAAAGTCAAATGGACCAAGGCTGACCTAGTCCTGAAGCCAGACGATAGAATCTCAATTGATACCAAGCCTGGCCACTCAACTGTGTCCATTGCTAAGACCAAGAGGGATGACACTGCTACATACATCATTGAGGCAGTCAACAGCAGTGGCCGTGCAACTGCAACAGTTGATGTCAACATTCTAGGTTGTGTGAAAGACTTTTTTTTTTTTTTTTTAAGTTGATACACCCTGCAAAAACATAGGGGTCTTATTTTGCAGTAAAAATATCTAAATAAACCTAAACAAGAAAACCAATAGTGTTTAAAATAGTAATGCTTGTTTTCAGAGAATATATTTTTGTATTACAAGATATTACAATATACTGTATCTTGAATTGCTTATTTCTTGCATTTTGTTTAAATATCTATATTTGTTTTTATATCAGTTTTATATATAAATATATATTAAATACTACGGTATATATATTTATCCACTTGTTTAATGAAAATAAGAAAAAAAAATTACATTTGGGATTGACATTTAGGCATTTAGACTTTTTTTCTTATGCAGTTAGTATTCAGATGATACTAATTTTCAATCTTTACTAACTCCATATAGATAAACCTGGTCCTCCAGCTGCCTTTGATATCTCTGAAATCACCAATGAGTCCTGCTTGTTAGCCTGGAATCCTCCAAGAGATGATGGTGGCTCAAAGGTGACAAACTATATTATTGAGAGGAGGGCTTTAGACAGTGAAATCTGGTACAAGTTGTCCTCCACTGTGAAGCAGACCACCTACAGGGCCACCAAACTTGTGGCTTTCAAGGAATATGTCTTTAGGGTCTATGCTGAAAATCAGTTTGGAGTTGGTGCCCCAGCAGAACATGCCCCAATAACTGCCAGATACCCCTTTGGTATGTTATTTAATACTGTTTCAGCAATTCAAACACATATTTGGCTAACATTTCACCTGCATTAGAAATCATTATATATATGTTAACACTATCCTAGATACTCCTGGTCCTCCATACAAATTGGAGGCATCTGATATTGCAAAGGATGCAGTAACTCTGTCTTGGTATGAGCCTGATGAGGATGGTGGAAGTCCTATTACTGGATATTGGGTTGAGAGATATGAGCCTGATCACGACAAATGGATCAGATGCAACAAGCTGCCTGTCAGTGACACAAACTTTAGGTATGTAAGGATGGAAATTAGCTCTAGTATGCCATTGTTGTTTCGTAATTATATATATTTTTTAAACATGTCTAAAATACAAATTTGCTTACAGGGTAAAAGGACTGCCCACAAGAAAGAAGTATAAGTTCCGTGTTTTGGCAGAGAATCTTGCTGGACCTGGCAAACCAAGCAAAGAGACAGACCAGATTTTGATTAAAGATCCAATAGGTAGGATTAATGTTTTATAAATATCCTGATTTGCCAATTTCACCTACAAAATGGCTAAATTTATATTTTATTTGGAGAGAGCATGCTGTATGAAACGTATGTGATTTATTTAATTTTTCAGATCCCCCATGGGCTCCTGGTAAGCCCACTGTTAAGGATGTGGCCAAAACAACTGCCTTCCTACAATGGACAAAACCTGAACATGACGGTGGTGCAAAGATTGAGTCTTACATCATTGAACTCCTCAAGAGTGGAACTGACGAGTGGGTTCGTGTAGCTGATGGTATCCCCTCTCTTGAGTACTTCCTGAGAGGATTGATGGAGAAGCAAGAGTACTCATTCCGTGTCAGAGCTGTCAATGCAGCAGGCGAGAGTGAACCTAGTGAACCAAGTGATCCAGTGCTCTGCAAGGAGAGACTCAGTAAGTCACACTATTTAAAAAATAGAGCTCTGTCATCATTTATTCATCCTCATGTTGTTCCAAACCTATATGACTTTCCTTTTTCAGTATGACACAACAGAAGAAATTCTGAATAATGTAGTTGGTCGCTTTTTTCCCTGCAGTTACAATAAACGGGGAGCTTTCAAGGTTAAAAATGACATGAAAGTATGTATCCTGATTAGTCCATGCAATGCGTTCACTAGTCTTCTGAATTCAGACATGCAGTAGTTTTGTGTGAACAGGCTAAAATTTAAGTTGGATTTTCAGTAAATAACTTAAATTTCTGTTTGTTCTTTGTTACTGTTATTGTGAAACTTGACAGCCGAAATTTATACAGGTTTGAAAAAAAATTGAAGGTGAGAAAATGGTGACAGAATTTTAATTTTAGAGTTAACCATTGCTGTAACATTTAAATGTTCAAGTGCATACAGTAATTCTGTACACAGCATTTCCTAATGATGGTCCTCCTCCTTTAGATCCTCCATCACCCCCAAGATGGCTTGAAGTAGTTTCTAGTAGCAGGAACAGCGCTGATTTGAAATGGACAGCTCCTGAGAGAGATGGTGGCTCTCCAATCACAAACTACATTATTGAGAAGAGAGATGTCAGACGCAAGGGCTGGCAGGCTGTGGATACCACTGTGAAAGAGCTGAAGTACACTGCCACCCCACTGAATGAGGGGTCTCTCTATGTTTTCCGTGTTGCTGCAGAGAATGCTGTGGGACCCAGTGAATTTTGTGAACTTGTAGACTCTGTTCTCGCCAAAGATACTTTCAGTGCGTTCTTATTCCTTCTTATTGCTTGTTTCTTCCTTTTGGTTGTTTTATATTTAGTGTTAAATTTGTCTCTCACCTGCTTTTCTTCTTCACAGGTACCCCTGGACCTCCATATAATCTGACCATTACTGATGTCTCCAAGACTCATGTTGACCTGAAATGGGAAGCACCTAAGAATGATGGTGGAAGACCTGTCTTGAGGTACTTGCATATGGCCTTTGTAGCAGTTGGTGAAATGTGGACCCAGGCTTTACTTTAGTATTAATAATATATTATACTATTATAGTATTTATTCATTTTTATTTAGCTTTTGTTTTTATATTTCTTGTATACTGTATAGCTTAATTTTGAGTTTTAGTAATTTTATTATTTTGTAAGTTTAGTCATTTTTATGTGCTGTTAATTTGTTTATTTTAGTTTTAGTTGTAGTAATTTTAGTATTACAAACTTATTTAATTACATTTAGTTGCCAAGACAACATTTCTACTTTTCATTTAAGTTTTGTAACTTTTCATCTAATTTTTATATTTGTATTTTATTTCAGCATTAAGTTCATCCAGTATGGAGATAGAATTGTTGCTTAATTCCAAATAAATAGATTACGATCCACAAATAAATGTAAAGAGATTAACAAAAATTAAACATACTGACAAATAAATAGAATGAGATCCACAAATAAAACTTAAAGTTTCACAAACATGAATTAAATTCACAAATAAATAAAATGAGATTTGCAAATAAAAAAAACATATTCACAATTATATATGTCACAATCACAACTTTGCCTGGCATTCATTTGTGAATCGCGTCCTGTGCATTTGTAGATCGCTGCGTGCATTTGTAAATCGTGTCCTGTGCATTTGTGAATTGTGAAACAATTTCTTACGTCAAGACGTGCTGACAATCCACAAATACGTGGACTCCACTCACCGTCTACTCAAGCCAATCAGATAACAGCTACATTTCGCTGACCAATCGTAGCACGCTCTCGCTATAGCCAATCACGTTTTGCTTTATAATCAGGGCGGTCTCCTCCTGAAATAACTTCATTCATCTGCATTGGCTCAAATAGGTAATATACGGGCCATAAAAATGGGTACAGTAAAAGATGTTTAAAATTGGATTTCATTAGACCATAAGACTGTGTATCATGCCAAGCCACAGAATTATATTTTACATGCCTTTGAAAATGCCAGAGAAACAGAGCTTTTAAATAACGCTATACTGATACAAACGCATTATGGAAGTGTCATGTTACTCAAGATGCAAAGAAAAGCGTCAATAAGTAACTGACTAATAAATAACTGGACTCAACATCATAATAAACATCTGTTTGTGTAATAGGTTAAATTGCTGTCACACAACAGTGTTTCCCAGTTTTTCAGTCAAGCCGATGTATATGAGCAGCTGTGAATCTAACGATGTATGAAGTTTTTGATATACTTCATATTCTATGTGGTGGTCAGTTCACAGCAGTGATAGAAATCAATCTACCAATAAGTCTAAATAGTTTTTTTTTTTTTTACCTTTTATGAGCATTTTTACATTCATAAAACCATTTTTTCTTAAAGTGTGCATGATCTTTTTTATATCCTGTAGTTATAAATGCATAGATAATGTTTTGATATTTTAAACACAAAACATTGAATACTGACATTTGAAATTATTTAAAAAATGAAAAGATACTTTAAATGTAAAATGTAAACCACCAGTAGGTGGCAGCAAGTCACCGATTGAACCAAATTTAAATGGTTGATACATTCAGGAACAAACACCTTCATGTTGCTCAGAGACGCAGAACAGTGCTGTGGCTTTGGTTGGAATTAATTTTGTTGTTGAAATAGAGCAAAAACAGGCAACATGGCGTCTAAAACTTAAGTCTCTTAATTAACTTTTTGTTTATTGAACTGTTGCATAAAATTAATATCACATTTGAAATCGTTGATTTTTGGAGAAAAGAAACGGCATTGATATATAAATGATATTTATATAAATGTATACATTTTCTTCTCCCATATCTTGAATTTTGATCATCATTCGACATGTATTTTAATAAACAGAATCATACAGTGAAAGAACGCTCTGTAAATGCGCACACGCACTAGTCTAACCTACTAAACTTCATCACGCGCTGTTTCTCTGGAATTTTCAAAGGCATGTAAAATATAATTCTGTGGCTTAGCATGATACACAGTCTAATGGTCGAATCCAATTTTAAACATCTTTTACTGTACCCATTTTTATGGCCCTTATATTACCTAATTGAGCCAATGCAGATGAATGAAGTTATTTCAGGAGGAGACCGCCCTAATTGTAAAGCAAAACGTGATTGGCTATAGCGAGAGCATGCTATGATTGGTCAGCAAAATGTAGCTCAATTCACAAATGCACAGGACGCGATTCACAAATGCGTGCAGCGATCTACAAATGCACAGGACACGATTCACAAATGAATGCCAGGCAAAGTTGTGGTTGTGACATAAATATATATTTGTGAATGTTTTTTTTATTTGCAAATCTCATTTTATTTATTTGTGAATTGAATTCATGTTTATGAAACTTTAAGTTTTATTTATGGATCTCATTCTATTTATTTGTCAATATGTTTAATTTTTGTTAATCACTTTACATTTATTTGTGGATCGTAATATATTTATTTGGAATTAAGCAACAATTCTATCTCCATAATCCAGTGTATCATTAATAATAATAATGATAATATCTCTTTCCTAGATATGTCATTGAGAAGAAGGAGAAACTTGGTACCCGCTGGGTGAAATCAGGAAAGACTTCAGGTCCTGACTGCCATTACAGAGTGACTGATGTAATTGAGGGCACTGAAGTGCAGTTCCAAGTCGCTGCTGAGAACGAGGCTGGAATTGGTCACCCAAGCGAACCCACAGATATTGTGATCATTGAGGACCCAACAGGTATGTTAACAAAAATCAATCTATCTATCAATCTATCTATCTATCATATATCTGTCTGTCTGTCTGTCTGTGTCTGTCTGTCTGTCGATTGATTGTTTGATTGATTGATTTATTTGGTTTCATTTACTATTTTAAACTTTCGTGTTTTGTTTGAGGTCTAGGAGACCCAATTTCATTTTTGATTAAACATAATGTAACATTGTAGATTTTATTAGGATTTTGCTTTATGACCTTTTTTTAATCTTATGAAAACAGCATTGAAAGCATTTTAACAACTTAAAAACATGCTTCAAATATACTCAAATATGAAATGGAATATTACTGCACAAGTGCATATCTACTTTGTGATTCAACAGAAAGATACGTCTTCAATAATTTTGCCCAGTTGGTTTTGATTAGGTCCAAGGAACATATTAAGATAAATTGAAAATAACAAACAAAATTTCTGACTATTATAATTACGTTTCTAGGACCTCCAACATTAAGGGGAAAAAATAGAACATAAGTGTTAAATATCTGATTTAGGGATTTAAGATGTAATTCATAATGAAACATAAATGGAACCATTCCTTATCTTGACAGGCCCACCATCACCACCTCAGGAACTGCACGTCACTGAGGCAGCCAGAGATCATATTTGTATTGCTTGGAAGGCACCAGAAAAGAATGGAGGAAGTCCCATTATTGGCTACCATATTGAGCTCTGTGAGACTGGAACTGAGAAGTGGATGAGAGTCAACTCTCGTCCTGTCAAAGAGCTAAAATACAGGGCAGGGGATGAAGAGGGCATTGTTCCTGAGAAGCAGTATACCTTCAGAGTCCGTGCTGTCAATTCTGTTGGTGACAGTGAGCCCTCTGACATTTCTGAGAATGTATATGCCAAAGATTCTGACTGTAAGCTATGTTGTTGTTGTTTTTGTAAAATTATAAATAAATTTGTTGCCATTATAATTTAAGGTTGATTGCCCTGTGACTCGTATCATTGCAGGCAGCCCAACCCTTGACTTCCAGACCAAGGATCTTGTTGTTGTAGAGGGTGAAAAGATGCACCTCCCAATTCCATTTAGGGCTGTGCCATCACCTAAGATTACATGGCACAAAGATGGAAACGAACTGAAGACTGATGACAGAACTTTCTTCAGAGTTGAATACCCATCATGCCATCTGGAAATTCCAAGCTGCTTACACGCTGATGCTGGCCAGTACAAAGTTACCTTGGAGAACAGCAATGGTTCAGCTAGTGGAACAATCAATGTTAAAGTTATCGGTATGTTTTTGAGTTCTGTTATCGACTGCTTGGAATATATCAGCTTTTAACAACTGATGCAAACATAATAATGAAAATGCACCTTTACATTTGAAACTAATGCCTTTACTTTGGTTTTACTGTGCTTGTTACAAATGATAGGTCTTCCTGGGCCATGTAAAGAAATTGTTGCTAGTGAGATTACCAAGAGCACCTGCAAGGTGTCCTGGGATCTTCCAGACTATGATGGTGGTAGCCCTATTCTCCACTATGTGCTACAACGCAGAGAAGCAGGCAGGAGAACCTATGTCAATGTTATGTCTGGAGAAAACAAAGTTAGCTGGCCGGTTAAGGATCTCGTTCAAAATGGAGAGTATTACTTCCGTGTCAGAGCTGTCAACAAGATTGGTGGTGGTGAATACATTGAACTTCGCAACCCTGTAATTGCTGAAGATCAGAAGCGTAAGTAATAGCATTCATTGAAAGCATTTGGATGTAACTTTCATTTTGCATAATATTTTAACAACCTTTTGTCCTTCAAATACAGAACGTCCTGACCCACCAGTCGATGTGGAAACACACAACCCAACTTCTGAGAGTGTGACCCTTACTTGGAAGCCTCCCATGTATGATGGTGGAAGCAAAATTATGGGTTACATTCTTGAGAAGATGATAAAAGGGGAAGAGAACTTTCAGAGATGCAATGACTTCCTTGTGCCAGTGCTGTCCTATACTGTTAAGGGGTTGATGCAAGGAAAACAATATCAGTTCCGTGTACGTGCTGAAAATGCAGCTGGTATCAGTGATCCTTCACGCAGCACACCTTTGATCAAAGCCACAGATGCAGTTGGTATGAACTCATTCTTTTGTTATTTGTCAAATCATACATTTTCATCAGATGTGAAGTCCCTCTGAAGCAAGCTATTGGTACTATATATGTAAGCATTTTTTTGTTATTCTGCTTTCAGATCGTCCAAAGGTATTCCTTAGCGGTAGTCTACAATCAGGCTTGACTGTGAAACGAGGTGAGGAGATCCGATTGGATGCCAATATCTCTGGATTCCCTTACCCCCAAATTACATGGATGAGGGACAATTCAACCATTTGGCCAGAGCCACTGAAGAAGAGACCAGAAAGGCCCATTAAGAAGAAGAAGGAGAAAGAACAAGAAAAGGAGGAAAAGAAGGAGGCTGATGCAGAAAAGAAAGAGGCAGATACAGAAAAGGAGGAAGCCAAAGAGGCAAAGAAGGTGGAGGACAAGGAAAAGGAGAAAGAAAAAGAAAAGGAGGTGGAGGAACCTGAGGAGCCTGAAGAAGCATACCACCCAAGCTTAAATGAACGTCTTACCATTGAATCCAAGAGGAAGGGTGAATCCTTCATTATTGTAAAAGATACTATCAGAGGCGATCATGGGGTTTTCACCATAAAAGTGGAAAATGATCAAGGTGTTGCCTCTGCCTCCTGTGAAGTTAATGTCCTTGGTGAGTATAAAACTCTTCAATGTGACATCAACACTTTACAAGAAACATGTAACCCTTTTCCACCTTGAATAATAAAACAAAAAGAATGGAATTTTAATTTTTACACTTTCTTTTCCAGATACTCCTGGTCCTCCAGTCAATTTCAAATTTGAAGATGTAAGGAAGAACTCAATCCTCTGTAAGTGGGATCCTCCTCTGGATGATGGTGGTAGTGAAATCCTTAACTACATATTGGAACAAAAAGATAACTCCAAGGTGGAGCTTGGATGGGTCACTGTAACCTCAATCCTTAGAGGCTGTAAATTTCAAGTACCAAAACTTATTGAGGGCAAGGAGTACCTCTTCCGTGTCACTGCAGAGAATAAGTATGGTCCTGGAACCCCATGCATCTCCAAACCCGTCAGTGCAAAGAATCCATTCGGTAATCCGATTTTTAGACGTTTGCTTGAGATCATCATTTGCATTATTGTGTTTAACAGTTAATTAAACAGTTCGATATGCCTTGTCAATTCAGATCCTCCAGATGCGCCGGAGAAACCTGAAATTAAGGATTCCACGGCCAGCAGTATGCTTGTTACCTGGACGGAACCCAAAGACAATGGCAGCCCCATTGAGGGATACTGGGTAGAGAAACGAGAAGTTAACAGCACACACTGGGCAAGAGTCAATCGCACCATGGTTCCTGATTTGGAAATAAATGTAGAGGGCCTTTTGGAGGGTCTGACATATATTTTCAGAGTCTGTGCGGAAAATGTAGCAGGACCTGGAAAGTTCAGCCCCCCGTCAGAACCAAAAACAGCACAGGCACCAATCAGTAAGTTTGTAGTATTAGAATTGACTATAAACCATAAACATATAATAAATAAATGTAACATCAAATTAATATTGATTTAAAATATAATAATTACTGTATAAAAATTATTTATTTCAGGGCCCCCAGGTCCACCAATTCCAAGAATTGTTGACACCTCAGACTATTCAATTGATGTTGAATGGGATCCTCCTGCAGACAATGGTGGCGCAGACATCTTTGGTTATCATGTTGACAAAGTTGTTGCTGGTACCAAAGACTGGTCACGAGCCACAGAGAGACCATGGAAGAACCACACATTTACAGTGTATGGTGTTAGAGAAGGAGCTAAATATATTGTCCGTGTAGTGGCAGTCAATTGTGCTGGTGAAGGACAACCAGGTTTTACTGATGCAGTAATTGTGAGAAACCCTGCAGGTATTAACATAAAACTGACGCTAAATATCATGATATTCTTTATTTGTTAATCAACAGCTAAATATATGGCTGTGTTTCTTTGTCAAAACAGAGGTTCCAGTCATCGAGCTTGATATCTCAATGAAAAATGGTGTTGTTGTTAGAGCTGGAGAGATGCTGAGAATTCCAGCACATGTGACTGGTAGACCTTTTCCATCTTTGAAATGGACAAAGGATGATGATCCATTAGAAAAAGATCGTATGGAGGTAGAGGAAGCTGGAAAGGACAGCACTATTGTTATCAAAACCACAAAGAGAAGTGATCAAGGCAAATACCAAATCCAAGCAGCAAATCCAAGTGGTATCAAGTCTGCATGGACCAGGGTTGAAGTTATGGGTAAGAATTTTTCAATTGAAATTTGGATTTGAAATGTATACACTCATTCTCATTACAACATGCATGACATACAATTTCCCACATTTAAAATCTCTTCTCAGATGTTCCTGGACCAGTTCTTGACCTGAAACCTGTTGTGGTTACCAGAAAGCTAATGATGTTGAATTGGTCAGATCCTGATGATGATGGTGGTAGTGATCTGACAGGGTTTATTATTGAAAGGAGGGAACCAAAGATGCACACATGGAGACAACCTATTGAGACCGCTTCATCCAAATGTGAGATTGTAGGTATTATTGAGGGACAGGAATACATTTTCCGTGTTGTGGCTAAGAATAAGTATGGATGTGGACCTCCAGTCGATCTTGGACCTATCCGTGCTGTGGATCCTCAAGGTAAATTTTGTATACACAATGCTTTACTCCCACAATAGCACTCAATATTATGAATGTTCCTATGTATTTATTGTCATATTTTTATTAAATGTTAGGTCCACCAACTTCTCCTGAAAAGTTCCACTATACCGAGCGGACCAAATCCTCTGTTACTATTGAATGGAGGCAACCTCGTAATGATGGTGGTAGTCCAATCCTTGGCTACATCATTGAGAAAAAGCGACAAGATCAACCAGCCTTCCAGCGTGTCAACCCAGAGTTGATGACTGCTCAAATTTTGACAGTTGAAGACCTTGATGAGTTGCATATGTATGAGTTCCGTGCAAAGGCTGTCAATGCATTTGGTGAAAGTGAGCCTTCAATTACCATGACTGTTGTCATTCAAGATGATGAAGGTTTGTCCTATTCTAGTTTAACATCATTGTTCTTCACAGAGTTTTATGATGTCTCAGCACACACATTTTAGATGACACATATTCCATCTTTCTTTTGATGATTATAGTGGCTCCAAGTCTGCATATGTTAAAGCACTTCAAGGGTGATTTGATTCAAGTAAGGAAAAACCAACCTATTGAGATGCCCGCTGAAGTCACAGGCCTGCCAATGCCAAAGATCGAATGGCTGAAGGATGATGTTGTTATTGCCAAGCCAACTGAGAAACTCCTGATAGAAACCAAAGAGATTGATAGGCTGACATCACATACAAAACTCTCCATCCCTGGTGTTACTAGATTGGACAAGGGCACATACACAGTTACTGCCTCAAATCGTTTGGGATCTCTTGGTCATTCCATCACGGTGGAAGTGTTGGGTAAGTGATCCTGTAGTGTACAAATATTGGACATTTTTGAACACTTCAGTTAAACCTGTTCAAATGGCAAAATATCAAGCCAAGTGGGATCTGCAACCAAATTGTGCTAGAGCATATGCAACTCATGTTGAAGTAATTTAAGTGGATGTATGGAGTCAGTTCTCCTGAAGTTCACCTAGTAGCCGCAGGTATAGTTCATCACATTAACTATGGAAATTCTCCACTAATGTTTGACAACCACAAAGTGCATATAATACGTTTGTCTTATTTTGAACTTTGTCTCTTATGTTCAACAAAACAAACCAAAAAAAATTTGTGAAATGTTTTACATTGTACAGTGTTTCTATAAAACATATTCCTCTTGATTTTATATTTTTTGTTATGTGATTCATTGACATGCAGTAAGTCACATCTTAAGTGTCCAAAGTGTTTGTATATTTTGCATATACCTAATGATTTTTGATAATCTCTTTTTTTGTAGATCGCCCAACACCACCAAGAAACATTGCTGTTTCAGATATCAAAGCTGAGTCTTGCAAACTATCCTGGGATGCCCCATTGGATCTTGGTGGCAGTGAACTTACCAACTACATTGTTGAGATGAAAGACCTTAATGGTGAAGATCCTGAAAAGGCCGAGTGGGTGCAGGTTACTAACTCCATTATCGAGAAGCATTATGCGGTAAGCTAAACAATTATTTTAAAGCAGTTGTATAGGTAGTCATTCAAAATTTATCAAAAAAGATACATTTGTTTATACAATACAAATAGAAAAAATATGATATCATGTTGTTAAAGGACAATATAAACATTTAATGTTTTTTTTGCAGGTATGGAACCTGGAAACTGGTGGCAACTATAAATTCAGAGTCAAAGCTGAGAATAAATATGGAATAAGTGAGGCCTGTGAAACAGAGGAGGTTCAGATTAAGGATCCTTTTGCTCTGCCTGGCCCACCTGAGAAGGTCACTATTGCTGAGCGCTCTAAGACCCATATGTTACTGACATGGGAACCACCTAGGGACAGTGGTGGTTCTATGATTACTGGCTACTGGCTTGAGAAGCGTGAAAAGGGCACTTCCTATTGGTCTCGCGTGAATAAGATCCTGGTGTCAAACCGTGGCATGAAAGGCTGGGAATACCAGGTTACCCGTCTCATCGAAGGAACGGAGTATGAATTCCGTGCAATGGCTTGTAATTCTGCTGGTATTGGACCACCTAGTGCCATCTCAGAGTCTGCCGTTGCTGACGATCCCTTGAGTAAGAACATAAATGAAGTGCATTTCTATTTTGAACAGATTTTTATGCATGTTGTTTTTAACATATTTCATGTTTTTGTGTGTGTGTGTACAGCTCCACCTAGCATGCCAGCAGCTCCTGAGATTGCTGACAAAACCAAGCATAATGTCACCCTTGCGTGGACCCCACCAGCTAAAGACGGTGGCCGCCCCATCAAAGGTTATATCATTGAGATCCAGGATGAAGGCACTTCTGAGTGGTCCAGGATCAATGATGCTGAAAATCTGCATCCTTCTACTGTGTTCACCGTTCCAAACCTCCCAGAACTTAAGAAATACAGATTCAGAATCATTGCAGTCAATGAAATTGGCGAGTCTGAGCCAAGCCCCAGAACCACTGAAGTTCGCATAGAGGACATTCAAAGTAAAGTCTCTCTCTCTCTTTTTTTTTTTTAATGAAATACAAATTCGCATCCTCCAGAGTCACATGCATTCTCTTAATTCCACAGCTGCACCAAAGATCTTCGTGGATATCAGTGCTAATGAACTGCTCTGTATCTGTGCTGGAACTCCATTTAAGATTCCAGCTACCATCACAGGACGTCCTGTTCCTAAAGTTTCATGGGAGTTTGATGGCAAAGCAAAGACAGAAAAGAAGGATCGTCTCCATGTCTTACCAGTGGATTCACAGGTAACATCTTTCTCTAATTTTAAACATGAATAATTATTATTTTCTTCTGAATCTTTGTAAGACTGGTATTCATTAATTATCTTTGGGATTAGGTTGAATCTACGGACACTACCTCAGTTGTTACAATTCCTGTGAGTTTGAGAAGCCATTCTGGCAGGTACACAATTACAGCAAAGAACAAATCAGGACAGAAGCATGTCAATGTCAGAGTAAATGTGCTTGGTGAGTTTCCTACATATTCATATTCATATATGTGTGTGTGTGTATATATATGTATATATATACATATTGAAATTAAACTATTCAATGTTGTGCCAAATTAATGTTGTGCTATGAAGTAAACTGATAATGTTTTTTCCAGATGTTCCTGGAGCACCCAAAGAGCTCAAAGTTACTGATGTCACCAGCACCACAATGAGACTTATTTGGAAACTGCCAGATAATGATGGTGGTGAGAGAATCAAGAGTTATTTTATTGAAAAGAAGGCTGTGAATGGAAAGGCTTGGACAGTTGTCAACGCTGCTTGTGCCAGCATGGCCTTTGTTGTGTCCAACCTCCTCGAGGGACAAGACTACTTGTTCCGTGTTCGTGCTGAGAATCGCCTTGGCTTTGGACCATTTACCGAGACCACAGAGCCTGTTAGGGCAAGGGATCCTATCTGTAAGTTGGTTGCTTTAATATTTTGAAAAGCATCACACATGCATCTTATTTTTTTTTAAATTAACAATATTTTTCTATTTTCTTTTAATGTAAAGATCCTCCTGATCCTCCTACCAAGGTGAAAATTAACCTTGTTACCAAGAACACTGTGACCCTGACATGGGTGCCTCCCAAGAATGATGGTGGAGCACCAGTAAAACATTATATCATTGAGAGGCTGAGCTGGGATACCAGTGGTCCACAGAAAGAGACGTGGAAACAGTGTAACAAGAGAGATGTTGAAGAGACTACCTTCATTGTTGAAGACCTTAAGGAAGGTGGCGAGTATGAGTTCCGTGTTAAAGCTGTGAATGGAGCTGGCGCAAGCAGACCCTCTGTTACTGCCGGACCAGTTGTCATTAAGGACCAGACATGTGAGTACAAGATCTTGTCATTTTTTGTATTAAGTTTCTTGAAATATGGCAGTTAGTTATTTCCTAATGTTTCTTTTAAATCTTTTTTAGGTGGTCCAAGTATTGAACTCAGAGAGGCTTTAGAAGGTGCAGAAGGATATGATGTCAGCATTGTTGCCAGGATTCAAGGCTGCCCATTCCCATCTCTTGTCTGGCACAAGGCTCCACAGGAAAAGCCTGATGACAAAGCACTTGTACAGTATGACAAACATGTCAATAAACTTGTTTCTGATGAGAAATGCACCCTGTTAATTCAGCAGTCAAAGAGAGATGACAGCGCCGTATACACTCTCACAGCCACCAACAGTTTGGGAACAGCCACCAAGAGCATCAAGCTTAGCATTTTGGGTAAGTCCTTGAATTTTGTGACTTCATTTTTATGAAATTTTGAATGATTCATCCATTTGAAAGGTAAAAAAATAATAATATCCTGTTCTTGTGTCCTTAGGACGTCCTGGTGTACCTGTAGGACCAATTAAGATTGGGGAGATTTTCGCTGAAAGGATTGGCCTCTCCTGGAATCCACCATTAGATGATGGCGGTTCCAAGGTTACAAACTATGTCATTGAAAAGCGTGAGGAAAACAGAAAAACATGGGTCCATGTCTCTAGTGATCCAAAGGAATGCCAATACACTGTACAAAGGCTAACAGAGGGCCATGAGTATGAGTTCCGTGTTATGGCTCAGAATAAATATGGAGTTGGACCACCTTTGTACAGTGAACCTGAGAAAGCACGTAACCTTTTCAGTAAGTTTCATTCACAGAGAAGTTCTAAATCCAGGGGTTTTCAAACTTTTTGATGCCTATGACCTCTAAACATGATGATCCCCTTGTGAGGGACCAGCTTACTACCATGTGTATATATTTTTATTATATTGTGAGGAAAAATTTTAATAATAACATTATAAAGATAAAGTAAATTATTGGCTTTTATATTGTTATTATACTAAAGATTATCTGGAATATATTTACTATGTATTACGTTGACGGTGTATGTTGTTATCTAGTGACAGTCTACTCATTGTTAAAATAATATTATGTATAAACCTTTACAAAAAAAAAACAACAACAACAAAAACAGATTTGGCTTTTATGTATTATTGTTAAAAACTAGAATTATGAATAATCTCATGATTTCTGGTTTCTGATTTCCAGTCTTTAGAAAGCAGAATAAAACAATAATAATGTCAAATTCAGTTAATGTGCTAAAAATGTGTTAATTCAAATGGGGGTCTCTGCAAAAAGTAATGTATTGTTGCAATTCAATATAATACTTATTTTGCTCCACTCTTCCCCTAACAGCTGTGCCTGGCCAATGTGAGAAGCCAACTGTCACAGATGTTTCACTTGAATCTATGACCGTTAACTGGGATGAACCAGAATATGATGGTGGCTCTCCTGTAACTGGCTACTGGCTAGAGCGTAAGGAAACTACAGGCAAGCTCTGGACAAGAGTGAATCGTGAACCTATCAGAATCAGGACTCTAGGAGTTTCCCATATTGTGACAGGTCTCTTGGAGGGTGCTATCTACCAGTTCCGCGTTCTTGCAATTAATGCAGCTGGAAGCGGCCCACCTAGTTTACCTTCTGATCCTGTTGCATGTAGAGATCCCATAGGTATGTTATGCTTTTCTTGTTGTTGTTGTTATTTTTTTTATTAATTTGTCTAATTAATGTTTGTATTATTTTAACAGCACCTCCAGGACCTCCAACACCAAAAGTAACGGATTGTACCAAGTCAACTGTTGATCTTGAATGGATTCCTCCACTTATTGATGGTGGATCTAAGATCACAGGATATTTTGTTGAGTACAAAGAAGAAGGACAAGAGGAATGGGAGAAGGTATGTATAAATCTATCTATCTATCTATCTATCTATCTAGGAAAATTTGAAATTGCATCATATGACCCCTTTAAGCATTAGTCGACTAATCGCACGTTTATTAATAAACCATTTAAATCATGCTAATGAGCCTTTAATTGCCTACATAGCTTAATAAGTGCTCAAGCACACGCATAAAGCTTGCCACTGCACACCGGCAGAAGTAATGATGATGAATGTGTCAGGGAAAAACAGTAAGATTAAACTGCAATAACATTTTAATAATCCATTGATAAACTAGTGTTTTCGGCTTAAGAGATGAATTCGGCGACACTGACTCGTCATCTCCACAGTAATTGATGCACCTGCATGCAAGTTTCATACGGATTACATAATCTGAGAATATATATATAAACATAGAGGGCACCTGCATGCAAGTTTCATACGGATTACATAATCTGAGAATATATATATAAACATAGAGGCTTTACAGATTCGAAAGATGTATTACTCTTATCTGTATGACCAAAATGACAGAGTATTTTAAGAGCAAGTGATTGCACTGGCGCCTCCATCTGTCATGCTGTGAGCGCATGCGCTACTGTTCAGCTTTCACACTCCGCACAGACACTTGAATAGCGCACATTTTTCTAGGTTAACATTAGATTGAGTGGCCATGTAAAGTCGCTACTACTTACATATTTCAGATGATAAGCCATATTTAAGGTCGTATGCGAGCGTTTGGATGTAACGTTACTCTATTACCACAAAATCCAGCCGATAACGATTTGTCCGTCACGGACTGCGTGACTTCACCACTTCCTGTGGATTTATTTTTCTGCGACTAATAAAATTTTGGTCGACCAAGCCTCTTATCGTCGACTATTATGGGGCAGCCCTAGTAGATATGCATATATTTGTTATTTATTGTGTTTTCTTTCTATCTATCTATCTATCTATCTATCTAATTAGGTTAAAGACAAGGAAATCAGAGGCACCAAGTTTGTTGTTCCTGGACTTAAAGAGCTTGGACTCTATAGATTTAGAGTGAGAGCTGTAAATTCTGCAGGTGTGGGAGAACCTGGCGAGGTTGCTGAGGTGATTGAAGTCAAGGATAGGACAAGTAAGCATTCATTTTAGATTTTTCTTTTTTTTTCTTAACACATTCATTTATTTTACTTTATATTTAATTTGCCATATATTTTAGTTCCCCCTGAGGTAGACCTGGATGCAACTGTCAAGGAAAAGATTGTTGTTCACGCTGGTGGGGTAATCCGCATCCTGGCCTATGTGTCAGGAAAGCCTGCTCCAGAAATTATTTGGAATAGAGATGATGGTGATTTGCCAAAGGAGGCTGCTATTGAGATCACTTCTATAAGTTCAGCTTTGGTTATCAAAAGTTGTAGGAGACAACACCAAGGCATTTATACATTGACTGCCAAGAATGCAGGTGGAGAGAGGAAGAAAGCAGTCATTGTTGAAGTGCTGGGTGAGTGTTTTTTTGTTGTTGTTGTTTTTTTGGCATCTGAATTCTGAACTTATTTCAATAAACTTGTTTTATTTCTTCACAGATGTCCCTGGCCCCGTGGGTCTGCCCTTCTCTGGTGAGAATCTCACCAATGACTCTTGTAAGTTGACATGGTACTCTCCTGAAGATGACGGTGGCTCAGCTATCACCAACTATATAATTGAGAAAAGAGAAGCTGACCGCAGAGGCTGGACTTCAGTGACATATACTGTCACAAGACACAATGCTGTTGTCCAGGGTCTTATTGATGGCAAGGGTTACTTCTTCAGAATTGCGGCTGAAAATATTATTGGGCTGGGTCCGTTCACTGAGACCTCAGCTCCTGTCGTCATCAAGGATCCACTTTGTAAGTCTTGTTTATTTGTATCAGTATTTTTTTATTTATATGTGTCATTACTTTTAATTGCTTGTAAAATGTCTCACACATTTAAACTTCTTCAGCTGTACCTGAGCGCCCAGAGGATCTTGAGGTGACAGCCATCACAAATGATTCAATCAGTGTCACATGGAGACCTCCAAAGTATGATGGAGGTTCAGACATTACAAGCTATGTTCTTGAGGTTCGTCTTATCGGACAGGACAACTTCAGCCGTATTGCCATAGAGGACAAACTTATGGAACGTAAATTCACACACGTGGGTCTTAAGGAAGGTTCTTCTTACGAATTCCGAGTTAGTGCTGTGAATCAAATCGGTCAAGGCAAACCATCATTCAGCACCAAACCAGTTGCATGCAAAAAAGAGTTTGGTAAGTAATTACTTGCACTGAAGTGATTTGTTCTATAATTTTCTTTTTATTGAACATTTTTTATTTATTGTATACTGTACTCTTTACTAGAACCACCAAACCTTGATCTTGAGTTCCGTGACAAGCTTGTTGTTCGTGTTGGGGAAACTTGCACTCTTCAAAGTGGGTACTCAGGAAAACCAGCACCAACTATTAAATGGTTCAAAAATGATGAGGAGCTTCAGGCAAATGAAGAAATTGCTCTCACCAGCACAAAGAATAAATTGTGCTTGACTATTGCAAAGGCAAAACGTGATCACAGTGGAAAATACACTGTTGTTCTGGAGAACTCCATTGGCTCACGCAAGGGCATATGTAATGTTATTGTTGTCGGTATGCTAATCTTTACTTTTGTCAAGCATATTCTTTTTTTATCTTGCTATTATTTTTGCAAACTGAATTGTGAATCATATGTATAATGACTTTTTCAGACCGTCCACAACCTCCAGAGGGTCCTGTTATCTTTGATGAGATCTACAGGAATTATATGCTCATTTCCTGGAAGCCCCCACTGGATGATGGTGGAGCTGCTATTTCTAACTATATTGTTGAAAAGAGAGACACCAACAGGGATCTATGGATGCCTGTTACAGAATCTTGTACAAGGGCATCATGCAGAGTTCCAAAACTGATTGAGGGAAGAGAGTACATCATTAGAATCTGTGCTCAGAATATTCATGGCATTAGTGATCCATTGCTATCTGCTGAGACAAAAGCAAAGGATGTTTTCAGTAAGTAACAGTTTATGCAATGTAATAAATAATTTTAACAAGAATAATTTAATTTATGATCAAGAGTCTTACTCATGTTCTCACATTTCTATCACTTGCAGAGGTTCCAGATGCTCCACTGGCACCTGTGGTAAAAGAAATCTATAAAGATACAGCGCTGATTTCATGGCTTCAGCCAGCTGATGGTGGAAAACCAATCACAAGCTACATTGTTGAAAAGAAGGAGACCAAGGCCAACATGTGGTCTAGAGCTGGAAAAGACCGCATTTACCCTAACACAGAATTCTGGGTTCCTGATCTTCTCAAGGGATGTGAATATGAATTCCGTGTCATGGCAGAGAATGTGATTGGTGTTGGTGACCCCAGCCCATCATCAAAGCCCATCTATGCCAAAGATCCTATTGGTATGTGTCTAAGGATGTTTTCAATGAAAAATTGACAGTTTTTGCTGAGTTAAAATATTAACCTCCTATTTACTTAAATTTCTTGTCACAGTGATTCCAAGCCCACCTGTACTTCCAGTAGCAATTGACAAGACAAAAGATTCTGTCACTCTTTCTTGGCAACCACCAAAAGACTGTGGCAGAGGCAAAATTTTTGGCTATCTCATTGAGTATCAGAAAGCTGGTGATGAGGAATGGTTTCAAGTTAATCAAACACCTGACTCTTGCCAGGGCACTACATTCAAGGTTATCAACCTTGAGGATGGTGCACTTTACAGATTCAGAGTGAAGGCAGTGAATGCTGCTGGTGAATCAGATCCTGCATATGTCCCAGAGCCCGTTCGAGCACAAGACAGACTTGGTAATTTTGGATATGCATACTTGGATATGTATGACTTTACTTTGCTAATTATGCTTATGCTTACGCTTGTTATTGCATTTAACCAAATATGTGTGAAAATATTAAATGTTTTATTTTTGTCTATTGTCTATAGAGCCCCCAGAACTTCAACTGGATTTGGGCATGCCTCGTGAGATCAAAGCAATGGCTGGAACCCATATTAATATTATTGCTGGAATCAAGGGAATACCTTTCCCCAAAGTCACATGGAAGAAAAATGAGGCAGATGTTCCAACAAGAGCAGAGATTGAAACATCTGGAATAGCAACCAAACTAGAGATGCGTTATTGCACCCGCGCAGATTGTGGAGATTACACACTTACTGTTGAAAATCCAGCTGGATCAAAGACAGCCACATGCACCGTGCTTGTTCTTGGTATATATTTCAAAGACTATGTTAAATAAAAATTTTTACAATTTTAAATCATTTATAAGAAGCAGAACATACAAATAAATTAAATGAAAATTAAATACTGTTCTTATTAGGCAACATGTTAAGTTGTTGTTTTATTTGTTTGTTTTCATAGACAAGCCTGGACCAGTTCAGCATCTCAGAGTATCTGATGTCAGATGTGATTCTGCCCAGCTATCTTGGAAAGACCCAGAAGATAATGGTGGTACACGCATCACTAACTTTGTTGTTGAGAAAAAGGATGCAGCATCTGTACAATGGGTGCCAATCTGCTCATCTTCCAAAAAACGTAGCATGTTGGCCAAACATTTGATTGAGGGAACGTCATACATGTTCCGTGTGGCGGCTGAAAATCAGTTTGGAAGAAGTGAATATGTTGAGACACCAAAAGCTATTAAAGCAATGAATCCACTGTGTAAGTATGGCCTGTGAAATTACTCCACTTTTAGGCCTATTTAATGTTTATTTTCAAAGCAATAACTAAAAAGTATAATATATAAAAATAAAGCAAAAAAAAAAAAAACTAAACACTTGTTATTGAAATTTCAGTCCCACCTGGTCCACCTAAAGACCTGCATCATGTAGATGCTGACAAAACTGAGGTGTGGCTCCAGTGGAATTGGCCTGATCGTACAGGAGGAAGTGACATCACAGGGTTCTTGGTTGAGTACCAAGAAGAAGGTGAAAGGGATTGGGTAGTTTTTAAGACTGTCAGCATTCCTGAGTGCCATGTGACTGGACTGGAAGAAGGAAAGACCTACAGGTTCCGTGTTAAGACAGAGAATGCAGTTGGTTTAAGTAGACCAGACACCACTGTGCCAGTACTTTGCCAGGAAAAACTAGGTTAGATTAAAATTTTAACATTCTCTATGATTACTTCAAGAAATTGTTTTCAATTTGTATTATTAAACTTTTTTATTCTACTGTCTTTGTAGTGCCACCAATTGTTGAGGTGGATGTGAAGTTGATAGAGGGAATCATTGTGAAAGCTGGAAGCACTATTAGATTGCCTGCCATTATGAGAGGCCTTCCGGTTCCCACTGCCAAATGGGTCATTGATGGAGAGGAAATAAAGAGTGAAGGCAATATCAAAATTGACACTGACAACTTCTCCACTGTTCTGAGCATTGCTGACTGCACAAGACATCACACTGGAATCTATATTCTCACAGTGTCTAACTCAGCAGGAAGTAAGACTGTTTCTCTGAATGTCACAGTGCTTGATGTGCCAGCTGCCCCAATAGGTCCTGTAAATATCCTTGAAGTGACTCCTGACTCCATGGTCATTGAATGGCGTCCTCCTAAAGATGATGGTGGAAGCCCTGTCATGAACTATATTGTTGAGAAGAGGGAATCGAATAAGGAAACTTGGGGAGGAGTAAGTTCTGGCAGCACTTCCACAACACTCAAAATTTCTCGTCTGCAGCAAGGAGTTGAGTATGTTTTGAGAATTCGTGCTGAAAATAAAATGGGAATTGGCGCAGCTCTTGAAAGTGCTCCAACTGTAGCCCGGCACCAGTTTGAGCCCCCTGGCCATCCTGGAAAACCAGTTGCATCTGATATTTCTGAAGATGCCCTCACACTTGGATGGACAATGCCTCTGTTTGATGGTGGTAGTCCGATCAGTGGTTATATTATTGAACGAAGACATAAAGGAGGAAAATGGATTAGAGTGAATAAAACACCTTGCAAGGACCTTAGATACAGAGTACTTGGGCTTTTTGAAGATAATGAATATGAATTCAGAGTATTTGCTGAAAATGTTGCTGGCTTTAGTGGACCTTCACCTATCTCAGATCCTGCCAAACCTTGCAGACCAATTACTGTTCCAGGACCTCCAGTGAACCCTAAGGTAAAGGACTACAGTTGCACATATGCTGACTTAGTCTGGATCAGACCCACAAGAGATGGAGGCAGTCCAGTCTTAGGATATATTGTTGAATACCAGAAGGCAGGTGCTGAGTGGGAGAAAGTAAATAAGGATGATCTAATTAAACAGTGTGCTTATAGAGTTAAGGGACTGACAGAGGGCACAGAATACAGGTTCCGTGTTAAAGCCGTCAACATGATTGGAGAAGGTGAGACCAGGGAAATCCCAGAGTCAGTTATTGCTAAGGATATTGTCATTCCTCCGGAAATTGAGGTGGATGCCACATGCCGTGACTGTTTGACTGTTCGTGTTGGGCATAACATTAATGTCGTAGCATATGTAAAAGCACGACCTGATCCAGAAATCACTTGGAGCAAAGGTGAAAGTGTTTTTGAAAAGGACAAGCGCACCACTCTGACAAACAACTTCCCAGTAGTGCAAATGCGTATCAAGGAAGCAACCAGAGCAGATCATGGAAAGTATACACTAAAAGCTGTAAATGAAGCTGGAGAGGCCTCAGCTACTATTACAGTAAATGTTCTGGATAGACCTGGGCACTGCCAAAATCTTAAGTTGACCTATGTAACTAAAAACTCTTGCATGGTGTCCTGGGATGCACCAGAGGATAATGGAGGCACTGAGATAACAAATTACATTGTGGAATGTCGGGAGCCAAGTATACGAGCCTGGTCAATGATCTCATCTGACTGCACAAATCGCATGGTAAAGGCTAAGCTCATGGAAAATCATGAATATTTATTCCGTGTATCTGCCGAGAACAAGTGTGGTCCTGGGCCAGCAACAGAAACCAAAACTCCCATCCTTGCAATCGACCCACTTCAGAAGCCAGGTGAGCCAGAGAACTTCCACGTCAGTGATATTGGTAAAAACTTAGTTTTCCTTAAATGGAGAAAACCAGATTATGATGGTGGCAGTCCTAACCTGGGCTACTATTTGGAGAAAAAAGCAAAGAATGCTGAAGAGTGGGAGAAGGTACATGAAGGAGTCCTGAAAGAGACATTCTTCATGGTAGACAAATGTGTTGAGAACCACACATATCAATTTAGAGTCCAGTCAACAAATGATGGAGGAGAAAGTGCCTGGGTTAGGACATCTGATATTCTTGTCAAAGAAGAAGTTCAGAAACCAGTTCTTGACTTGAAATTTGTTGGTACTGTTGTGGTCAAAGCTGGTGAATCAGTTAGACTTGAAGCTGGACTTAGAGGAAAACCACAGCCTGAGGTTACATGGGTTAAGGAAAAGACTACAGGCGATAACCCAAGGATCAGCATTGACACTGGACATGATTACTCCAAATTCCTCCTTACTAAAACCAAGCGTAGTGATACTGGAAAATATGTGGTCACTGCTACAAACTCAGCAGGATCATTCACAGCATATGCCAATGTTACAGTTTTGGATATACCAGGACCTGTCAGAGATATGAAGGTTTCTGGCATTTCCACAGACAAGTGCAGAGTTGTATGGGATCCTCCAGAGGATGACGGCGGTTGTGAGGTGGACAGCTATATTCTAGAGAAATGTGAGACGAGAAGAATGGTTTGGTCCACTTACTCTGCCTCTGTTGTCACCAATTACTGTAATGTAACACGTCTTGTTGAAGGAAATGAGTACATATTCAGGGTAAGAGCAGAAAATAAGATGGGAACTGGACCACCAATGGAGAGCAAGCCTATTACTGCTAAGACACAATACAACAGGCCTGGTCCACCTGATGCACCTGAGGTAACAAAAATTGGTAAAGATGAGATGACTGTGGTATGGGCTCCTCCTGAAAACGATGGCGGAAAGTCTATCACTGGTTACATTCTGGAGAGAAAAGAAAAGCGGTCTGTTCGGTGGGTCCCTGTCACAAAGAGCCCTATCTCTGAGAGGCGTATGAAGGTCACCAATCTGATCCCTAACCACGAATATCAATTCCGTGTCAAAGCAGAAAATGAAGTAGGATTGGGAGAACCAAGCAAACCATCCAGACCCATCACTGCAAAAGATCCAATTGGTGTGTATAGTCTGTATTATCTGTTATAATATCTGTATAATCTGTTCATTCAAGTTTGTGTATTTTTTTTTTCTTATTTTTTCTTATTGATGCATTTATTTGTTTTAAACTAAACTGGCTTTGTATGTGCCATTTAGAGCCCCCTGGTCCTCCTGGCAGCCTTAAAGTAGTTGACAGCACGAAGACATCCGTTACACTTAGCTGGGCGAAGCCTGTGTATGATGGTGGTGCTCCAATTATTGGATATCTGGTTGAAATGAGGGATAAGGTGCAAATGGAAGGTGAACAAGAGAGAGAGCCAGAGGAAGGCTGGAAGAAATGTAATACTGCTGGACAGCTTGTCATAACTGAATTTACAATGATTAACTTGGATGAGAGACAGGAATATGAATTCCGGGTGTCTGCTCAAAACCAAGTTGGCATGGGCCGTCCTGCAAACCTCAAGGATGCTGTATCACCAAAGGAGATCCATGGTAAGCATTTGTTTTAAAGTGTCATGTTTTAAAGTGTTATGATTGCCCTTGAAATTCAGTAAACTTAATCAGTTTTTTTTTTTTTTCACAACAGAAACTCCAGAGATTGATCTTGATGCTAGTCTAAGAAAAGGCCTTAGCGTAAGGGCAGGATGTCCTATCAGACTTTTTGCAACAATTAGAGGAAGACCAGCACCTAAAGTGACTTGGAAGCGCATGGGTGTTGACAATGTCATTAGGAGGGGCCATGTGGATCAGATTGATACAATGACCTTCCTTGTGATTCCTGAGAGCTCACGTGAAGACTCTGGCAAATATTCTTTGACTCTTTCTAACCCCTCTGGAGAAAAGGCTGTGTTTGTTCGTGTTAAAGTCTTAGGTAAACTTACATTTGTATAAAATGCATTTTAAAATTGAAATAAGCATTGCATTTACCTACTACCAAGTACTGTCAGTAAACCAGTTCCTGAAATTTGTCAACAGATACTCCTGGTCCCGTTGGTGGACTGGAGGCAACTGACATTACCAAGACAACCTGCCAGCTTGCATGGTTGCCTCCAGAAAATGATGGTGGTAGCCCAATCTTAAACTATGTTGTTGAGAAGCGTGAGGTTGATAGGAAGACATGGACAAATTGCACAAGTGACTTGAAGAAAACAAGCTTCAAAGTCACGACTCTGACACCAGGAATAGAATACTACTTCCGGGTCATGGCAGTTAACAAGTATGGCATTGGGTTGCCTCAAGACTCACCAAAATCCTACCTCGCTACAGATCCCATGAGTAAGTCCACCTTACACGGTATAATTTATATTATATTATATTAGTATTTTAAAAATGTGTATTAAAATAATGTGTTTCTTTTTACCTGTCAAAGGTGAGCCTGATCCTCCGAAGAAGATGGATATATTAGAAATTACTAAAAACAGTGCAACTCTAGGGTGGCTGAAGCCACTTAGAGATGGTGGATCTAAGATTAATGGCTACATTGTTGAATACCAGCAGGATGGTCAACCTGAGGACAAGTGGACATTATACTCTGTTGTGAAAGACTTGACAATTGTTGTAGCTGGACTGAAAGAAAACACTAAGTACAGATTCAGGGTTGCAGCAAGAAACGCAATAGGATGCAGTTTGGCAAGAGAAGCTGAGGGCATATTTGAGGTCAAAGAACAGCTGAGTATGTATACAAAGATGTTGTGCTCTCCCATTATTAATGTATTTTTATTCATGCTGTATTTTTTATGAATCACACTCTGAATCTTTTACCTCTTTCATAGTGGCACCAAAGATCATCATGTCTGATGTGGTTACAGCAAGAGCAGGATCTAAACTTATAGTCGAGGCTCTTGTGTCTGGGAAGCCCGCTCCAGTCACAAAATGGAAAAGGGGAAATGATGACATAGTTACATCAGATCGTCTCTTCATACAAAAAACCCCAACCACAAATTCACTTTTGATCAAAGATGTCACAAGGAAGGATAGTGGTTATTACAGTCTGTCTGCTGAAAACAGCACTGCAAAGGTCAACCAGATCCTCCGAATAATTATTCTGGGTGAGTTTGTATTATTATTATTGTTGTATTATTATTATTGTATTTGTATTATTGTTGTTGTCGTTGTTATTGTTATTATATTTTGACTTATAATGACTTGTTTGTTTGTTTGTTTTTAGACATCCCTGGTCCTCCACAGGGTCCTCTACAAATTCTTGAGTTTGACATGGATTCCTGCACACTTGCATGGGATTCACCTGCTGAAGATGGTGGCAGCAACATCACAAACTACATTGTTGAGAAGTGTGATGTGAGCAGAGGTGACTGGGTCACAGTGGCATCTTGCACCAAGACCAGCTGCAGAGTTGGAAAGCTCACACCTGGCAAAGAGTATGGCTTCCGTGTCCGTGCTGAAAACCGTTTTGGCATTTCAGAACCAATTTACTCTGAGAAAATGATTGCTAGACATCCATTTGGTAAGTCTCACATATCAACACATTTGAACACTGACACACAAAGGGATTAGGCTTTATTTACTCTAATACATATATTACAATTTCAGATCCACCCAGTGAGCCAAGGAACTGTTGTGTCAACAAAATCAACAAGGAATCTGTTGTGTTGTCATGGGAGGGACCAGTGAACGATGGTGGCAGTCCCATCACTGGATATTGCATTGAGCGTAAAGAAAGAAATAGCCTCCTGTGGGTCAAGGCAAATGAGGTCCTTGTTCGTTCAACTGAATATACATGCTCTGGCCTCATTGATGGTCTAGAGTACACATTCAGAGTGGCTGCTGTCAACAAGGCGGGACAAGGCAAACCAAGCAAGCAGACAGATTTTATCACTGCAAGAAGTCCAGTTGGTATGTGTTGGGGAGAAACCTGCTGCTCTCCCTTATAAAAATTGAAATCAAAACACTACAACTTTGATTTATATTCTTTTTCAGATCCACCTGGAAAACCCCAAGTTCTTGATGTGACCAGAAATTCTGTCTCTCTTGTCTGGAGCCGTCCAAAACATGATGGTGGAAGTAAACTCATTGGTTATGACGTTGAATCTCTGAAGCTTCCAGGTGACAAATGGGTGCGAGTTAACACAAGCAGTCAAAATATACCAAAGGAAGAGTACATTGTTCCTGGACTTGAGGAGGGAGCCCAATACAAGTTCAGAATAATTGCAAAGACAGCAATTAATGTCAGTCTGCCCTCAGAGGAATCTGATGCTATCCCAATTATTGCAGAGCATGGTAAGTCTTGTGATCTACCAATAATGTAATTATTTACTAACTAATGGACTTTATATAGTTACTTTGATGTCTCTCTTTGTATTATTTCAGTTCCACCTAGAGTTGAGATTAGTCTTGAAATGAAGAACTTAATTGTTGTCAAAGCCGGGGCAAATGTCTGCCTGGAGGCTGAAGTTTTTGGCAAACCATTGCCAAAGGTCACTTGGAAGAAAGATGGTGTTCCTTTGAAATTGGCTGAAGGTATGAAAATGACTCAGAAGGTTCATCGCTTCTGCATGGAACTGTTCTCTGTGACAAGAAAGGAATCGGGAGAGTACACCATTACTGCTGAGAACCCAAGTGGCACAAAATCTGGCAACATTAAATTGAAGGTTCTAGGTAAGTTAACATTAAAAATATGCCAAAAAGGACTGACCATGTATTACCCTTCAGACATTTAAGAAAGTGTATTTGTTTTGTGAGACATGCTTAATTTTGTTTCTGCAGACAAACCTGGACCCCCAGCATCAGTGAAGATAAGCCATGTGTTTGCCGACCGGGTGAAACTGAGGTGGGAGCCACCTCTTGCCGATGGTGGTTCTGAAATCACAAATTACATTGTTGACAAACGAGAAACAAGCAGAGCTAACTGGGCACAAGTTACTGCTAACATCAATGGTCAGATAACAGACTGTTCTGTGGAGAAACTGATTGAAGGCCATGAATATGAGTTCCGCATCAGTGCTGAGAACAAGTATGGTGTTGGAGACCCAATTGTGACTAACTCTGTGATTGCCAAGAATCCATTTGGTAACATTTTATTCTTTCTCATGCATTTATATATTATAGAGATTGACCGATAAGTGATCAGTACATATAATCTAATGTTAAAAGTTTCACACAGGTAGATTTTTTTAAGCTTTGGCTGCATAAAGTGGCTTTTACATACATTATGTAATATTATATGTTAATTTGTTTGGAAAGACGACTGTTTCCTGTGAGATTAACAATAATGGGTTTTGTGTGTGTGTGTGTGTGTGTGTGTGTGTGCTATTGTTTAATGACCCACCAGATGTCACTATTTATTGCTATACCTAGTAGAAAAACCTAAATATCATTTAAAAATGTCAGTCCATTTATCGTTTGATCTCTATTCATGTATATACATATTGTTTTGAAATTGCATATTCCTTAAACAAATTAATTTGATTAAAAAAAACTTTTCAAAATTTAGATGTCCCAGGACCATGTGAACCTCCAGTTATTACCAATATCACCAGGGATCACATGACTGTTAGTTGGAAGGCCCCTGCTGATGATGGCAAGGCCACCATTCTTGGATATATGGTTGAGAAACGTGAAACTCAAGACCTCAATTGGGCTAAAGTGAATAGAAGACCAGTTATTGACAGGACAATTAAAGCTGGAGGCCTCACAGAGGGATCGGAGTATGAATTCAGAGTCATTGCACTCAATAAAGCTGGTCTTGGCAAACCAAGTGATCCATCAGCTGGTGTTCTTGCAGTAGACCCAGTGTGTAAGTACTAACAATACTGTATTTAATGTCCATTAACAATTAAACTTGGCCAAAAAAAAAGAAAAGAAAGAAAGAAAAGTTTGTGCATTTAGACCCTGCATTTCTGTGTTTTATTTATAGATCCTCCTGGACCACCTGCTTTTCCAAAGGTTGTTGACTCTACACACAGTTCAATCAGTTTGTCCTGGACCAAACCCGCCTATGATGGTGGATGTGAAATTCTGGGCTATCTTGTTGAGTTCAAAAGAGCAGATGCAGAAGACTGGCTGAAGTGCAATGTGCCAAAGAATCTCCAGGCAACAAAATTTAATGTTACTGGTCTTATGGATAACACTGAGTACCAGTTCCGTGTTACTGCTGTAAACAAGATTGGATTTGGTGAGCCAAGTGAAGTTCCTGGAAAACATATGGCAAAGGATATCCTAAGTAAGTATATCTCTATAACTGAATTTTGATTTCAAGCATCTGTAGATTACTGTACATTATTCTCATTGTAATTTTCTCTTAGTTGCCCCTGAGGCTGAACTTGATGCAGATCTCAGAAAAGTACTAGTTTTACGTGCTGGAGTCACAATGAGAATTTATGTACCTCTGAGAGGGCGGCCTGCTCCAAAGGCAACATGGACTAAGGTCAATGCAAACTTGAAAGAAAGACAAGGTCTTATGATCAAGACAACTGAATGGGATACCTTCCTTTATTGTGAGGATATCAACAGATATGATGCTGGCAAATATGTCCTAACTCTAGAAAACAGTAGTGGTACCAAGTCATATATCATTGTTGTCAAAGTACTAGGTAAGATTTTTTTCTTTCTCTTAACAAATTGCCATTTGAGGTTTATTATTTACTGTATCTAACTGCAGTCTGTAAATGTACACAGACACACCTGGACCCCCAGTCAATCTGATTGTTAAGGAGACCTCGAAGGACCATGCATCTATTACTTGGGATGCTCCATTAATTGATGGTGGTAGTCCCGTTAAGAGCTATGTTGTTGAAAAACGTCTGGCTGAGAGAAAGGCTTGGACCTGTGTTGCTCCTGAATGTCCCAAGACATCTTTCAGGATTACTAATCTTGAAGCTGGTAAATCTTACTGCTTCAGAGTTTCAGCTGAAAATATATATGGTATCGGTGAGGGTTGTGAAACAGCTGGACCAGTCAAAGCCTCAGGTGAGACTTCTTTGATAATGTTGCAGTTTAGTTTACATTTTTAATGTTAATATGTTGATTATGCTAAATTCTAATATTGATGTCAATTGCAGAGCAACCTGGACCAGTTACAGATTTTAAACCTTCAGAGATCAACAAGAATTCTTGCACTCTTGGCTGGAAGAAACCAATCAGTGATGGTGGAAGCCATATTGTTGCATATGTTCTCGAGATCTGTGAAGGGGAAGACAAATGGAAGCTGCTAATGAAGTCTAAGCTCACCCAGTACACAATGACTGACCTTGAAGAAGGAAAGGAGTACTTCTTTAGAGTCAAAGCCATTAATGAAGCAGCTGAAGGACCATCATCTGAGCTCACTGTCTTGGCTAAAGATCAAATAGGTATTCATATAGTATACCTCAGGGTTTTCTAACGTCAAAGACAGTGAGACCTAATGCACAGATCCAATATATTGATACACATCCAATTTTCTCCCAACTCTTTACATTAACTGTTATATAACCAACTGTGTTTATGTGGATGGTCAGACATTTTGACACATCAATTTGTGTATTTGACTGTTCAAGCACAATGGGTCATGCACTGAAATGGATGCCCACATGCTGATGCCTAATTCAGTTCTCTTACAATATTGTGCTTTTAATAACTGATTTAATTTAATGACTGCATGTCCCACACTTTGAAAACCCCTGGTCTACCTAGTAATTGCATTTGTTTCTTAGTGGTTATGCAACAATGTCCATTAACATATTTGTGTTTTTCTTGTCTTTTTACAGTCCTTCCAGACTGTAATCTTAAAGGTTTGCCAGACTCTACCTATGTGGCAAAGGAAGGAAGCACTGTTCGTCTTAATATCCCTATTTTTGGTATCCCAGCTCCTGCAGTCACATGGAAAAAGGGTGATGTTACTTTATCAGACAGTGGCAGGATCTCAGGTGAATCAACGGCAACAAACACGGTCTTGCTGGTTCGTGATTGCAATAGAGGTGATGCTGGCAAATTCACTGTTATTTTGAGAAACAGTGCTGGAACAAAGGAATCAGCTATTGACATTAAAGTTGTTGGAAAGCCTGGAATCTGCACCGGTCCCATCAAATTTGATGAAATCACAGCTGAAGCGATTACTGTAGAATGGGGTCCACCCAAAGATGATGGTGGATCAGAAGTTACCAACTATATTTTGGAGAAGAGGCATTCTACTGCCAACAAGTGGGTCACAGTTGCTTCTGCAATTCAAAAGAACTCTATGAGAGTTACAAGACTTCATGACGGAACAGAATACATTTTCAGAGTTTGTGCTGAAAATAAATTTGGATTTGGAGAGTTCCTCAAATCAGATCCAGTGGTAGCTAAACATCCATTCAGTGAGTATTTAAAGAAATCCCAAATACATATTTTTATTTTATGAAATATGATATTTAAAAACATTTATTCACAGCAAATACACACTTTTCCCCACACCAGATGCACCAGGGGCTCCAGCACCACCTGAGGTTGTGAGCATTCGTCATGAGTCTGCTATCCTAACATGGTCTGATCCAAAAGATACTGGAGGCTCACCCCTCACAGGTAAAATATTTCTTAACAACATTTATTTTTTTATTTATGTGTTTATTTGCAGTTTGTAACAACTAAACCTTTTTACTACTATTATTGCTTATAGGATATTACGTGGAATTCAAAGATAGAAATAGCCTGATGTGGAAGAGAGCCAACAAGACACCTTTGAGAGTGAAAGAATGCAGAGTAACCAGTTTGGTTGAAGGACTGGAATATGAATTTAGGGTCATAGCTATGAATGTGGCTGGACTTGGAAAGCCAAGCAAAACAACTGAATCACTTGTTGCTCTTGATCCAATTGGTGAGTCAAAGTGTGCTTTCTTTCAGCTTTTTAAGATGTGCCGTTCATCAGGAAGAGATTGCAAAAATATTTTTTGTTAATATTATTATCTCTTTCTATAGATCCACCTGGTAAACCTGATGTGATCAGTGTCACAAGAAACAGTGTAACACTAATTTGGGCTGCACCCAAGTATGATGGTGGCCACAGACTAACTGGCTATATTGTCGAGAAATTAGAGCATCCTGGAAAGACCTGGATGAAGGCCAACCATGTGAATGTCCAAAGCTGTGCATACACTGTAACAGACCTACAGGAAGGCTGTACTTATGAATTCAGACTAAGGGCTAAAAATGCAGCTGGAGCTATCAGTGCTCCCTCAGAGACAACTGAGCCTCTTGTCTGCAAAGATGAATATGGTAAGCTGTATTGTCAAGTTTTAACAACTTTGCTTAACCAAACCCTCAGTAACCATAACAATGTTAATAATCATCACCTGACTTTCTACAGAACCACCAACTATCACAATTGACCCTGAAATGAAGGATGGAGTGACTGTGAGGGCTGGAGAAACAATTGTCGTAGCAGCATCAAGCATTCTTGGCAAACCACCTCCTACAGCTGTGTGGTCTAAGGGTGGAAGAGAATTCAAGACCTCAGATATTGTCCAAATTACAAGCACTCCCACATCTTCAACACTGTCAATCAAGTATGCCAGCCGAAAGAACACTGGGGAGTACACTATTACTGCAAGTAATCCATTTGGTATTAAAGAAGAAAAAGTCAAAGTGAAAATCCTGGATGTGCCTGGACCTCCAGGTCCTATTGAAGCCAGCAGTGTCTCTGCTGAAAAATGCACTTTGACATGGTTGCCACCAGAAGAAGATGGTGGCTGCACTATCAAATCATATACATTAGAAAAAAGAGAAACCAGCCGCCTTCTCTGGACAAAGCTTGCTGAAGATGTTATGGATTGCCGCTATGTTGCCAGCAAGCTGATAAAGGGAAATGAATACATATTCCGTGTTTCAGCAGTCAATCAGTATGGTATTGGTGATGCAACACAGTCTGGACCAGTTAAAATGGTTGATAGTTTTGGTAAGCTTAACTTCATATTTTACAACATAATCGTTTTTTTTTTTTTCATCTCTGACACACAGACACACTCACATATATATATATAAATAAAGATTTTCTTCTTTAACTTCTTAACTCTTTTTTGCAGGACCTCCTGGGCCACCATCAAAACCAGAAATTGATAACGTCAGTAAAAATGCTATAACAATTTCCTGGAAGAGACCAATTGTAGATGGAGGAAGTGACATTAGAGGCTATAGTGTTGAGAGAAAAGAGAGAAGAGGAATGAGATGGGTCAGAGCTTCAAAAAAGACCATTTCTGATCTACGTTATAAGGTCTCAGGCCTGTCAGAGGGAATTGAATATGAATTCCATGTAACTGCAGAGAATAAGGCTGGTTTTGGCGAGCCCAGTGAGCCATCACAACCTGTAATGACAAAGGATATTTCATGTAAGTTGACCAAAAAATATTTTTAAATTCCAGATATTGTTTTCTTGTCAATCTTTGTCCCAAAGAACTTTTTATCATTATCATTTTATTCTTTTTCAGATCCACCAGGACCTCCATCCAACCCACGGATTACTGACACCACCAAAACTACAGCAACATTTAACTGGGGTAGACCCTTCTATGATGGTGGACTTGATGTGACAGGATACATTGTTGAACATAAAAAGGAAGGTGATGATGACTGGGTTCAAGACACAACTACTCCATTGAGAATAACAGAATTTGTAGTTTCAAATCTACAATCAGGAGGAAAATATCACTTCAGAGTCAGAGCACTGAATTCAGAAGGACTTGGTGAACCCTCTGAAGTTGAGCAAGTTGTTGAACTGGTGGATCGAGAGGAGGCTCCTGAATTTGAACTTGATGCAGAGTTGAGAAAAACACTTGTTGTTAAGTCAGGTGCTTCAATCCGCATATTTGTGCCAATCAAGGGCAGGCCAGCTCCAGAAGTAACATGGCATAAGGAAGATGTACCGCTTAAAGGCCGTGCTCACATTGACACTACTGAATCATACACTCTAGTAGTCATCCCTGAGTGTACAAGATATGATGCAGGGAAATATGTCCTAACATTGGAAAATGTTGCTGGAAAGAAGTCTGGATTTGTCAATGTTCGTGTTGTGGACACCCCAGGACCTCCAGTGAATCTGAAACCAAGTGAAATCACAAAGCATAGCATTACTTTACAATGGGAGATTCCAATCATTGATGGTGGTTCAAAGATTACAAATTATATCATTGAGAAGCGGGACGCAACACGAAAGGCTTACTCAGCAGTTACAGCAAACTGGCAGAAATGCTCGTACAAGATTCCAGACTTGGAAGAGGGCGCTGAATATTACTTTAGAGTTTCTGCTGAGAATGAAAGGGGCATCGGTGAACCAGCAGAGACACCTGAACCAATTAAAGCTTCTCAGGCTCCTTCTGCACCAGATAATCTGATTGTTTCAGATGTTTCCAAGGACACAGCAACTCTTGCATGGACTAAACCAAAATATGATGGTGGTAGTCGAATCACTGGCTATGTGATAGAGGCTCAACTGAAAGATTCTGATCAGTGGACACATGTGACAACAATAAAAGCTTTAGATTACACTGCAACAGAATTGGTGGAAAATGCAGAATATGTGTTCCGCATCTTTGCTGTAAACAGCTCAGGTAGGAGTGAACCTCGTGAAAGTCGACCAGCTGTAATCAAGGAGCAAACCACTGCTCCAGGATTTGACCTCAGAGGTATATATCAGAAAATGGTGGTAGCTAAAGCAGGTGATAATCTTAAAGTTGAGATCCCTGTTCTGGGACGTCCAAAACCACTTGTTTTATGGAAGAAAGAAGATCAGGAACTTAAACAGACACAGAGAATAAACGCTGAAGATACTGCAACTTCTACAATTCTCAACATTAATGAAATTAAGAGAAAAGACGGAGGACAGTATTCAGTGACAGGAAAGAACATCTTTGGAACTGTGACTGAAATCATTACTGTTCAAGTACATGATATTCCAGGACCTCCAACTGGACCAATAAAACTGGATGAGGTTTCTTGTGACTATGTGATAATATCATGGGAAGCTCCAGAAAATGATGGAGGAGTTCCTATTAATAACTACATTGTTGAAATGCGTGAGACAACTGGCACATCCTGGGTAGAACTGGCAGCAACTGTTATCCGCACAACATTTAAAGCAGCACGCCTTACAACTGGTATTGAATATCAATTCCGTGTAAAAGCTCAGAACAGATATGGTGTTGGACCCTACATAACATCAGAACCAGTGGTGGCTGCTTATCCATTTGATGTTCCAGGACAGCCTGGAATTCCACAAGTAGTTGCCTTCACCAAGGATTCAATGACAATCAGCTGGAATGAACCTTCTTCAGATGGAGGTAGCCCAATTTTAGGATACCACATTGAGAGGAAAGAGAAGAACAGCATTCTCTGGCAGAGGATCAGCAAAGCTCTAGTTGTTGGCAATATGTTTAAATCACCAGGTCTGATTGATGGTATTGCATATGAATTCCGTGTTATTGCAGAAAATCTGGCTGGTCTCAGCAAAGCAAGCAAGCCATCTGAGATGACATATGCACTTGATCCTGTAGACCCCCCAGGTCAACCAGTGGCACTTAACATAACTAGACATGAAGTTACTCTTCAGTGGTCAAAGCCAGAGGGCGATGGTGGTTTCTCAATAACTGGATATACAGTTGAAAAAAGAGAGCTGCCTAATGGTCGCTGGCTCAAAGCCAACTTCAGCAACATTCTTGAAACAAACTTTACTGTTAGTGGTCTCACAGAAGATGCTTCTTATGAATTCCGTGTATTAGCAAGGAACTCAGCTGGGGCTGTCAGCAAACCATCTAAACCTTCAGAGGTCATTGTCTGCAGAGATGACATTGAAGAGCCAAAAATTGATGCTGATGCAAGTTTCAGTAGTGCTGTGGTAGTGAAAGCAGGAGATGTCTTCAAGCTAGATGCACGTGTTACAGGTCGCCCAATTCCATCCTTGGTTTGGACTAAAGATGGCAAGGAGCTTGAGGACACTGGAAAACTAGAGATCAAAACATCAGATTTCTATACTTGTTTGATTAACAAAGATTCTTTACGTAGAGATGGCGGTGCATACGCTCTAACTGCTAGCAATCCGGGAGGATATGCCAAAATTGTCTTCAACGTTAAAGTTCTTGACAGACCTGGCCCACCTGAAGGACCACTGCATGTCACAGACATGACAACAGAGAAATGTATTCTGTCATGGCTGCCACCACTTCATGATGGAGGAGGAAAGATTGAATATTACATCATTCAGAGACGTGAAACAAGTAGACTTACATGGACAAATGTAGCCACGGATTTACAAGTAAACCGCTATAAGGTTACCAAATTGCTGAAAGGAAATGAATATATTTTCAGAGTCATGGCTGTGAACAAGTATGGAGTTGGAGAACCTCTTGAATCTGAGCCAGCTGTTGCCACTAACCCATATGTGCCTTCTGATCCTCCACAGGCACCAGAAGTAACTGCTATCACAAAACATTCAATGGTGGTGTGTTGGGGACATCCTGAACACAATGGTGGAAGTAGTATAAATACCTACATCATTGAGAGGAGAGATAAAACTGGTCTTCGTTGGGTAAAATGCAATAAAAGAACTGTTACTGATCTGCGCTTCAAAGTGTCAGGACTAACACCTGGACATGAGTATGAATACAGAATCCTAGCCGAAAATGCTGCTGGCTTAAGTGCACCAAGCCCTTCAAGTCCATTCTACAAAGCATGTGACACAATATTTCAACCTGGACCCCCTGGAAATCCTAGGGTTTTGGATACAAGTAAGTCATCCATTACTATTGCTTGGAATAAACCAGTTTATGATGGTGGCTCAGATATCACAGGTTATATTGTTGAAACATGCCTGCCAGAGGAAGATGAATGGACAATTGTCACTCCAAAGGCTGGGCTAACAGCAACATCATTCACCATAACCAACCTTATTGAAAACCAAGAATATAAGATCAATATTTCAGCTCTTAACTGTGAAGGTGTTGGAGAGCCAGCCTCTGTACCTGGTTCACCAAAAGCAGAAGACAGACTCCTTACACCTGAAATCGAGCTTGACTCAGACCTTCGCAAAGTAGTGAACATCAGAGCATGCAGTAACTTAAGATTATTTGTGCCAATTAAAGGAAGACCTGCACCAGAAGTGAGATGGTCAAGGGAGACAGGTGAACCCCTTGATAAAGCATCAATTGAAATTACATCATCTTTCACCACATTGGTTATCGAGAATGTAAACCGATTTGATGGTGGAAAATACATGCTAACAGTGGAAAACAGTTCAGGAACTAAAACGGCGTTTGTTAATGTCCGAGTTCTTGACACTCCTGATGCACCACAGAGCCTTACAATCAAAGAAATCACAAAAGATTCTGCTTCCCTCATCTGGGATCCTCCAGTCATTGATGGTGGATCAAGAATCAGGCATTATATTGTTGAAAAACGTGAATCTACACGAAAAGCATATTCCATCGTTAATACCTCCTGTCCCAAAACAAGTTGTAGAATTGGAGACTTACAAGAAGGAAGCATGTATTTCTTCAGAATTTTGGCTGAAAATGAGTATGGTGTTGGTCTTCCAGTAGAGACCACGGAAGCTATAAAAATCTCTGAGAGACCTCTTCCTCCTGGAAAAGTGACTCTAAAAGAAGTAACTGGCAACAGTGTAACACTTTCTTGGGAGAAGCCTGACCATGATGGAGGAAGCAGAATTACGGGTTATATTGTTGAAATGCAAGGGAAAAACAGTGAAAAATGGACGCAAGTAATGACTGTTAAAGTAACAGAGGCAGTTGTTGTTGGCCTAACACAAGGTGAAGAATACTCCTTCCGTATTTCAGCAACTAATGAAAAGGGAACCAGTGATCCACGTCCACTTAGTGTTCCTGTGGTTGCTATGGATGTTGTTATTGCTCCTGCCTTCAAACTTTTGTTTAGCACATTCAGTGTTCTGGCAGGTGATGATCTGAAAATTGATGTGCCTTATGTTGCTCAGCCCAAGGCAGCAGTTACCTGGCAAAAAGATGGTATTGCTCTGAAAGAGACAACAAGAGTAAATGCTGAAATAGCAGAGAGACACCTTTACCTTGTGATAAAAGAGGCAACACGGGATGATGTGGGCAAATATACTATTAAACTGACAAACTTAGCTGGTGAAGCTACAGCAGACATCAATGTTATTGTACTTGATAAACCTGGACCACCAACTGGCCCAATCAAAATAGAGGAGGTAACTGCAGACTGTGTTACATTGTCATGGCAGCCTCCAGAGTACGAGGGAGGCTGTAGCATTAATAACTATATTGTGGAAAAACGAGATACATCCACCACCAACTGGCAGATTGTATCTGCAACAGTGGCAAGAACAACAACTAAAGCTGCAAGATTGAAGACTGGCTGTGAATATCAATTTAGGATTGCTGCTGAAAATAGATATGGAAAGAGTTCAGTTCTTTTGTCTGAGCCTGTTGTTGCACAATATCCCTTTGAAGTTCCAAATCCACCAGGAACTCCAACTGTTCAATCTGCTACTAAAGAAAGCATGGTTATTGTGTGGAACAAACCCAGTAGTGATGGTGGAAGCAAGATTTTGGGATATCACATTGAGAGTAAGGAAAGAAACAGCTTGTTGTGGGTAAAGCAAAACAAAACACTCATTCCAGACACAAGATTCAAGATAGGTGGCCTTGAAGAAGGCATTGAATATGAATTTAGAGTTTATGCTGAGAATATAGTTGGTCTAAGCAAAGCCAGCAAAGTATCAGAAATCCAGGTGGCTAGAGATCCATGTGACCCTCCAGGCAAACCTGAAGCAGTGATTGTCACCAGAAGCTCTGTAACACTCAGGTGGACACCACCACAGTTTGATGGCGGCAGCAAGATTACAGGATATGTCATTGAGAAAAAAGAATTGCCTAATGGCCGCTGGATGAAAGCTTCTTTTACGAATATCATTGAGACCGAATTTGTTGTCAGTGGTTTGGTAGAGGAGCAGCAGTATGAATTTCGTGTCATTGCAAAAAATGCTGCAGGTGTGTCTAGTGTTCCATCAGACAGTACTGGTGCAATCACAGCCAAGGATGAAGTTGATCCACCCCAAATTGACTTGGATGCCAAATATTCTCAAACTATTGTTGTTAATGCTGGAGAATCATTCAAAGTAGATGCAAGAATACTTGGCAAACCTATTCCTTCAGTTCACTGGATAAAATCTGGCGAAGAACTTACAAATACTGCAAGACTTGAGATAAAGAATACTGACTTCACAACTACTCTTAGTGTGAAGGAGGCTATCCGTGTTGATGGAGGCCAGTATACCTTGCTATTAAAAAATGTTGGTGGAGAGAAATCAGTAGTTGTCAATGTCAAGGTTCTGGACAGACCTGGGCCTCCAGATGGCCCAATTTCAATCTATGGGGTTACCAGTGAAAAGTGCTGCATTGCCTGGAAAACTCCATTGCACGATGGAGGTGCGGAGGTGTCTCATTACATTGTGGAAAGAAGAGAGACCAGCCGCTTAGTTTGGACTGTTGTGGAATCTAAGGTACAAACCCTCAATCTTAAAATTACAAAACTCCTTCCTGGAAATGAGTATATTTTCAGAGTGATACCTGTAAATAAATATGGAATTGGTGAGCCTTTAGAATCTAATCCAGTGATTGCAGCAAATCCATTTGTCCCACCTGATGCACCAAGTAATGTTGAAGTGTCAAATATAACAAAGGATTCCATGGTTATCACATGGCAAAGACCCACTAATGATGGCGGCAATGCAATTACAGGATATATTGTTGAAAAGAGAGACAAAGAAGGTGTTAGGTGGGCAAGATGCAACAAACGTGTAGTGAGTGAACTACGCTTTAGAGTAACAGGACTTCTTGAAAACCGAAGTTATGAATTCCGTGTGTCTGCTGAGAATGCAGCTGGAGTTGGTAAACCAAGTCCACTCACAGTGTACTTCAAGGCAGTGGATCAAGTCTTCAAGCCTGGTCCACCAAACAACCCCAAGGTAATTGATGTCTCAAGAGCATCTATTGTCCTGCATTGGGGAAAGCCAATTTATGATGGTGGCTGTGAAATTCAGAGTTACATTGTTGAGGCATGTGAAGTCACTTCCGATGAATGGATGATGTGTACACCACCCTCTGGAATAACAGAGACAAGATTTGAAGTAAAAAAACTGCTTGAAAAGCATGAGTACAAATTCAGAATATGTGCCATAAATAAGGTTGGTGTGGGAGAAACTGCTGATATCCCAGGATCCATTATCATAGAGGATAAACTTGAGGCACCAGATATTGATCTTGATGCTGACCTGAGAAAGATGATTACTGTCAGGGCTGGAGGCTCTCTAAGATTGTTTGTTCCTATTCGTGGACGGCCAACTCCTGAAGTCAAGTGGGGAAAGGCTGAAGGTGAAATCAACGAGGCAGCTCAAATTGATATTACAAGCAGTTTCACTTCACTCATAATTGAAAATGTTAATAGATTTGACAGTGGAAAATACACTTTAACTCTGGAAAATGCCAGTGGAACAAAATCGGCATTTATAAGTGTCAGAGTATTAGATAATCCTGATGCACCTGCAAACTTCCGTGTGAAGGAAATAACAAAGAATTCAGTCACTCTTACCTGGGAGCCACCGTTGCTAGATGGTGGAGCTAAAATTAAAAATTACATTGTTGAAAAACGAGAGAGTACAAGAAAGGTATACTCTGCTGTTGCTACCTGCAACAAGATGACATGGAAAATTGAACCACTCCAAGAGGGAAGCAACTTTTTCTTCAGGGTTCTTGCTGAAAATGAACATGGTATTGGATTGCCTGCAGAGACTCTAGAACCAATAAAAATCTCAGAGGTGCCACAACCCCCTGGTAAAGTTTCTGTAGTGGATGTTACAAGGAAGAGTGTTTCCCTCAAATGGGAAAAAACAGAGCATGATGGAGGCAGCAGAATTACTTATTACGAAGTTGAAATGCAAGCAAAGGATCAAGATAAATGGTCTCTTTGTGCTCAAGTAAAATCCCTCGACACTGTTGTAACTAATTTAGTCCAAGGTGGGGAGTACAATTTCAGAGTCATTGCCGTCAATGACAAAGGAAAGAGTGATCCCAGACTCTTGGCAAACCCTGTTGTTGCAAAGGACCTTGCTATTCAGCCCACAGTAAGAACAAAACTTAGCACCTACAATGTACAGGTTGGGCAAGATTTGAAAATTGAAGCACGAATTTCTGGTCATCCAAAACCAACTATTACATGGACCAAAGATGGTTCAGCTCTGAAACAGACCACAAGAGTAAATGTTGCTGACACTGCACATCATACCACTCTTACCATCAAAGATGCAACAAGAGAAGATGGTGGTATGTATAACATTGTTGTGGCTAATGTACTTGGACAAGCAGAAGCCACTGTTGAAATAATTATACTTGAAAAGCCTGGCCCACCAACTGGCCCAGTCAGGATTGATGAAGTGAGTGCAGAGAGCATTACATTATCTTGGGACCCACCAACATACACTGGAGGCTGCCAGATTTCAAATTATGTTGTCCAAAAGAGAGACACCACCACCACTAACTGGGTAGTTGTTTCTGCCACAGTAGCAAGAACCACACTTAAAGTTAGTAATTTAAAAACTGGAGCTGAATACCAGTTTAGAATTTTTGCTGAGAATAGGTATGGTAAAAGCTATGGCATTGACTCAGATCCGGTTCTCGCCCAGTATCCTTTCAAGGAGCCTGGGCCTCCAGGAACTCCATTTGTGTCTGCATTCACAAAAGAATCTATGGTTGTTGAATGGCACAAGCCAGTCTCAGATGGTGGAAGTGCTATTCTAGGATATCATCTAGAGAGAAAAGAGAAAAATAGCATTCTTTGGACAAAGATCAATAAAATACTCATTCAAGACACCAGATTTAAAACATCTCCATTGGAAGAGGGCATTGAATATGAATTCAGAGTCTATGCTGAAAACATAGTTGGAATTGGAATGTGCAGCAAAATTTCTGAGGGTTGTGTGGCACGTGACCCATGTGACCCACCAGGCACCCCTGTGCCAGTGATTGTGACAAGACACTCAGTGAAACTTAGATGGACACCACCGGAATATGATGGAGGCAGCCTTGTCACTGGATATGTTGTGGAGAAACGAGACCTGCCAGAGGGTCGTTGGATGAAAGTTAGTTTTGCAAATATTCTTGAAACTGAATTTACAGTCACAGGCCTGATAGAAGACTGCAAATATGATTTCAGAGTTATTGCCAGAAATGGAGCTGGATCAGTTAGTAGACCCTCTATGAGCACAGGCTCAATTACAGCTAAGGATGAAGTTGAACCACCAACCTATGAGGTTGCCTCAGAGTATAGCCAAATTTTGACCGTGAATGCCGGAGACACATTTACCCTGGAAGCATCCATACTAGGAAAGCCAGTTCCAACAATGCAGTGGTTTAAGGGTGATGTAGAAGTTGAAAATTCAGCAAGAGCTGAAATCAAGAACACTGACTTCAAAGCAATTATTGTTGTCAAAGATGCCATTCGAATTGATGGAGGACAGTACACATTGCACCTCACTAATGTGGCTGGAACAAAGTCTGTTTCCTTCAGTGTAAGAGTCCTTGATAGACCTGGACCCCCTGAAGGTCCTTTTTCTGTCTCTGGTGTAACATGTGAGAAGTGCTCATTGTCATGGCTGCCTCCAAAACATGATGGTGGCAGTAGCATTTCTCATTATATCATACAGAAAAGAGAAACAAGTCGCCTTGCTTGGACTGTAGTTTCAGGTGATTGTGGAGCAACCATGTTTAAAGTTACTAAACTTTTAAAAGGAAATGAATACATATTCCGTGTCATGGCTGTCAACAAGTATGGAGTTGGTGAACCACTTGAATCTGCACCAGTGAATATGAGAAATCCTTTTGTTCCATCTGGGCCACCTAAAGAACTAGAAGTAACAAATATTTCAAGGGATTCTATGACAGTATGCTGGACTCGTCCTGAGACTGATGGTGGAAGTGAAATTGTTGGTTATATTGTAGAGAAGAGAGACAGAGCTGGAGTGCGGTGGACAAAATGTAACAAACGCAGAGTCACAGACTTACGTTTCAGAGTCACAGGCTTGACAGAGGATCATGAATATGAATTTAGGTTATCTGCAGAAAATGCTGCTGGAGTTGGACAGCCAAGTCCACCAACTGTTTATTACAAAGCCTGTGATCCAACATTTAAGCCTGGCCCACCAACTAATGCACACCTTGTTGACACTACAAAGAATTCAGTCACAATTGCATGGAGTAGACCAATATATGATGGTGGTTTAGACATCCAAGGCTATGTTGTTGAGATATGTAAAGCTGATGAAGAAGAATGGACCACATGTACTCCACCCTCTGGATTAAATTATACTAAATTTACAATAACTAAACTTACCGAACACCAAGAATACAAAGTTCACATATGTGCTTTTAATAAACTGGGTGTTGGTGAGCCAGTGTCTATCCAAGGAACTGTCAAACCAGTGGATAAGATGGATGGCCCTGAAATTGAGCTTGACTCGGAGTTGAGGAAAGGAATTGTTGTGCATGCTGGAGGGTCTATGAGAATCAACATACCATTCAAAGGACGCCCCATTCCTGAAATAAACTGGACCAAGGATGAGGGAGATTTACCAGATAAAGCCCAAATAGAAAAAGGACCAGATTACACTCAGTTATCAATTGATATATGTGACAGAAATGATGCTGGTAAATATACTCTGACTTTGGAAAATAATGCTGGCACTAAATCAGCCTTTGTGTCAGTAAAAGTACTCGATACACCAGGTGCTCCACAGAACCTTGTTGTGAAAGATGTAACAAGAAACTACACCACCCTCGTTTGGGAACCTCCACTTATAGATGGTGGTTCAAAAATCAAAAATTATATAATTGACAAGAGAGAATCGAATAGACAAGGATTTGTAAACATTACTACCAAGTGCTCCAAGACCAGCTTCCGTGTTGGTGATTTGACAGAAGGTGGTGTTTATTACTTCAGAGTCATGGCAGAAAATGAATTTGGAATTGGTCTTCCTGTAGAAACAGAAGAATCTGTGAAGACAGCAGATCCTCCTTTATCTGTCGGCAAGGTAACTTTGACTGATGTGACAAAAACCACAGCATCACTTTCATGGGATAAACCAGATCATGATGGTGGTAGTAGAATCTTGGGTTATTATATTGAAATGCAGCCAAAAGGATCAGAGGAATGGACAATTGCTACAGTCACCAAAACAGGTGAAGGTACAGTGACAGGACTTAGTTCAGGACAAGAGTACCTCTTCAGAGTTTTAGCTTACAATGAGAAAGGAAAAAGTGATCCAAGGCCATTGACTGCTCCTGTCGTAGCCAAAGATGTTACTATTGAACCAAGCTTCAAACTACTTTTCAACACATACAGCGTTCAAACTGGTGAAGATCTCAAAGTGGAAATACCATTTAAAGGGCGTCCAACTCCAAAGATTGCATGGATGAAAGATGGACAAGCACTGAAAGAGACGACCAGATTAAATGTCTCAAGCACTGTAACTTCAACAGTTCTTAAAATTAAAGATGCAAATAGAGAGAACTCTGGCAAGTACACAGTTACAGCTACAAATAATATAGGTACGGTCACAGAAGAGGTTGGCATAATCATTCTTGACAAACCAGGCCCACCAGTTGGACCGGTTAAAATTGATGAAGTAAGTGCCATCTATGCTACCATCTCCTGGGAGCCACCAGTATACACAGGAGGTTGTCAGATAAATAACTACATAGTGGAAAAACGTGATACAACCACTACTAACTGGCAGATTGTTTCAGCAACCATTGCTCGTACCACAATAAAAGTCACAAAGCTGAAGACTGGTTCTGAATATCAGTTTAGAGTGTTTGCTGAGAACAGATATGGAAAGAGCACACCGTTAGATTCAGCACCAGTTGTGGTCAGTTATCCTTTTACTGAGCCTGCAGCTCCTGGTGCACCATTTGTTTCATCAGTGACAAAAGACCACATGACAATTGAATGGAAACCCCCCAGCAATAATGGAGGTAGCCCAATTATTGGGTATCACCTTGAGCGTAAAGAAAAGAACAGCATCTTATGGACCAAACTTAACAAGCTTCTTATCACTGACACTCGATTCAAAACAAATGGTCTGGAGGAGGGAATTGAATATGAATATAAAGTGTTTGCTGAAAATATGGCAGGAATCAGTCCATCAAGCAAAGTCTCAGAAAGTGTTGTTGCACGTGATCCCTGTGATCCCCCTGGAACTCCTGAAGCCATTGTTATCACAAGAAACCTAGTAACTCTTCAGTGGGCAAAACCACAGTATGATGGTGGCAGTGCTATTACAGGATACATTATTGAAAGGAAGAAGCTGCCTGACGGTCGTTGGATGAAGGCCAGCTTTACAAATATTATACACAAACAATTTACAATAACTGGATTGGAAGAAGAACAAAGATATGAATTTAGAGTAATTGCCAAAAATGCAGCTGGTAATTTAAGTGTACCCTCTGAAAGCACTGGATCAATTACTGCTCAGGATGAGATTGAAGCTCCATCTGTCTCCATGGATTCAAAATTTAAAGATGTTATCACTGTAAAGGCTGGTGAGTCCTTTACTATTGATGCAGACATTGCTGGAAAACCTCTTCCTGATATTATGTGGCTTAAGGATGGAAAAGAAATTGACAGTGCTACACCCAGAATGGAGATTAAATCCACCATCACACAAACAGTTTTGACTGTTAAGGACTGCATTAGAGTAGATGGTGGTCATTTCCTCTTAAGTCTCAGTAATGTTGGTGGAACCAAACAGGTACCCATTAGTGTCAAAGTTCTTGATAGACCTGGGCCACCTGATGGCCCTCTGAATGTAACTGGTGTCACAGCAGAAAAATGCTATTTGCACTGGAGCCACCCATCACACGATGGTGGAGCTGGAATTTCTCATTATATTATTGAAAAGAGAGAAACTAGCAGACTGTCATGGACAGTAGTGGAACCTAAAATTCAAGCAATTAGTTACAAAGTCACTAAACTCCTACCTGGTAATGAGTATATATTCAGAGTCATGGCAGTGAACAAGTATGGTATTGGTGAACCACTTGAATCTGAACCTGTCCTTGCAAAAAATCCTTTCAACAAACCTGGACCACCTTCAACTCCAGAAGCAAGTGCAGTCACCAGAGACTCAATAGTCCTTACATGGGAACGGCCAGAGGACGATGGCGGATCACAAATTGATGGTTATGTTCTTGAGAAACGTGATAAAGAGGGTATAAGATGGACAAAGTGTAACAAGAAAAGACTGAATGACTTGAGATTCAGAGCCACTGGGCTTACAGAGGGACACTTCTATGAATTCAGAGTATCTGCTGAAAATGCTGCTGGTGTGGGCACACCAAGTGAACCATCTCAATATTACAAAGCTTGTGATGCAACTTATCCTCCTGGTCCTCCTAATAATCCTAAAATAACAGATCACTCAAGCACAACTGTTTCCTTGGCATGGAGTAGACCAATTTATGATGGTGGAGCACTGGTCTCAGGATACATTGTTGAGGCAAAGGAAGTTAGTGAAGATGAATGGACAGTATGCACTCCACCAACCGGTGTGCAAACAACTCGCTTCACCGTCAAAACATTAAAGGAAAATGCAGAATACAACTTCCGTATTTGTGCACTTAATATTGAGGGGGCTGGAGAGCATGTTGATGTTCCAGGATCTGTAATTGCTGCTGAAAAACTTGAAGCTCCTGAGATAGAACTTGATGCAGATCTTAGGAAATGTGTGACTGTGCGTGCCAGTGCAACACTTCGGTTATTTGTCACCATAAGGGGAAGGCCCGAGCCAGAGGTTAAGTGGACAAAGGCAGATGGTACCTTACCAGAGCGGGCTCAAATTGAAGTAACAGGCTCTTACACTGTGCTTGTTATTGACAATGTTAACCGATTTGATACTGGAAAATATGTTGTGACCCTTGAAAATAATAGTGGCACAAAATCTTCATTTATTAATGTAAAGGTCCTTGACTCTCCAAGTGCTCCAGTGAATTTTGAAATTAAGGATGTAAAGAGAGATTCTGTCCAGCTACAGTGGGAACCTCCACAAATTGATGGTGGAGCCAGGATCACCCATTACATTGTGGAAAAGCGTGAATCTAAAAGGCTGGCATTCACAACTGTGACAAACAGCTGTGTCAGAAATTCATTCAAGGTTGATGATCTCCAAGAAGGAGGTCTTTACCACTTCCGTGTTTTGGCTGTGAATGAACTTGGTGTTGGTTTGCCTGCAGAGACCATAGAGGCTGTCAAAGTTTCCCAAGCACCCTTACCACCTGGTAAAATTACAGTTGTTGATGTAACTCGCCACACTGTTACTCTAGCATGGGAAAAGCCAGATCATGATGGTGGCAGCAAAATCACAGGCTACACAGTGGAAATGATGACTAAGGGATCAGATAAATGGACTGTATGTGCTACAGTAAAGGCACTGGAAACCACAATTGAAGGACTTACAACAGGAGAGGAATACAGTTTCAGAATTGCAGCAGTTAATGACAAAGGAAAGAGTGATCCTAAACCCCTGGGAGCATCTGTTGTGGCACGAGATATTACTATTGAACCCATTATTGATTTGCTGTTTAATACCTACAGTGTGAAGGCTGGAGATGATCTCAAAATAGATGTTCCATTCAGAGGCAGACCTCTTCCAGAGGTTACATGGAAAAAGGATGGTCACTCATTGAAGCAAACAACCAGAGTTAATGTTTTGACATCAAAGACATCATCAAAGATTGTCATCAAGGATTCAACAAGAGAGGATGCTGGAAAATATGAAATTATTTTAACCAGTTCGATTGGCATTAAATCAGCAGAAATATCTGTTATTGTTCTTGATAAACCAGGTCCACCAGGTGCAATCAAGGTAGAGGAAATAAGTGCTGATTTTATTTCACTATCATGGGACCCTCCAATTTATGATGGTGGTTGTCAAATTAATAATTATGTAGTCGAGAAGAGAGATATGACCACTACAGCATGGCAAATTGTTTCAGCAACAGTTGCTAGAACATCAATCAAAGTAACTCGTTTGACACAAGGAACAGAATATCAGTTCCGTGTTGCTGCAGAGAATCGTTATGGAAAAAGCCATGCAATTGACTCTGCCCCAGTAGTTGCACAGTACCCCTTCTCACCTCCAGGCCCTCCAACCAGTCTTCACATTGCTCAAGCCACTAAATCAGGAATGCTAGTTACCTGGAACAGACCAGCAAGTGATGGTGGCAGTCCCGTCTTTGGATATCACTTGGAATGCAAAGATCAGAGCAGCATTCTCTGGGCAAAGATGAACAGAGGGCCTATTACAGAAACTCAGTTCAAGGTAACTGGTTTGGAAGAAGGTCTCTTGTATCAGTATAGAGTATATGCTGAGAATATAGCTGGCATTGGACCTTGCACAAAGGCATGTGATCCTGTTTCTGCCCGAGATCCATGTGCACCTCCAGGTCAGCCAGTAGTTATGAACATCACAAGAACATCTGTTTCTCTCTCCTGGGCAATACCTGAGTTTGATGGTGGAGCTAAGGTGACTGGCTACATTGTTGAACGCAGGGAACTTCCAGATGGACGATGGTTAAAGTGTAATTTCACCAATCTTCAAGAAACATTCTTTGACGTGACTGGTCTGATTGAAGATCAGAGATATGATTTCCATATAATTGCTAAGAATGCAGCTGGCTTACTCAGTGAACCATCAGAGGGTACAGGACCTGTGACTGTAAAAGATGATGTTGATCCACCACGCATCACAATTGAGGACAAGCTAAGACAACTGGTTGTAGTGAAAGCTGGAGACATACTTAGAATTGATGCTGAAATATCAGGACGTCCAATTCCTGTGATTTCATGGGCAAAGGATGGGAAAGAAATTGAAGCCAAGGCCCGATTTGAGATTTCTTCAACACTCACTAGTACAACAATAATTGTGAGAGATGCCATTAGACGAGACTCTGGACAGTATGTTCTAACATTGCAAAATGTTGCAGGCACCAGATCTTTGGCAGTAAACTGTAAGGTCCTGGACAGGCCTGGCCCATCAGCTGGACCGTTGGAAGTAACTGGTCTGACTGCAGAGAAATGTACATTGAACTGGGGACCACCTCAAGAAAATGGAGGTGCTGAAATTCAGCACTACATAGTTGAGAAACGTGAAACAAGCCGGCTTGCCTGGACTCTGGTCTATGCAGATATGAAAGCCACAACATGTAAAGCAACAAAACTGCTCAAAGGCAATGAGTATATATTTAGAGTTCGGGGAGTTAATAAGTATGGAACCGGTGAAGCTCTGGAGAGTGATCCTGTTAAGGCAATGGATCCATTTACAATCCCTGCTGCACCTACAAATGTTGAAGTCAGCAGTGTTACAAGTGAAGCAATGACAATTTGCTGGGAAAGACCTGTCTCTGATGGAGGCAGTAGTATTTCTGGCTATGTAATTGAGAAACGTGAGAAATCTGGTCTCCGCTGGGTACGTGTCAACAAAAAGCCTGTTTATGACTTAAGAGTAAAAGCTTCCAATCTCCGTGAAGGATGTGAGTATGAATACAGAGTATTTGCAGAGAATGCTGCTGGTTTGAGTGCACCAAGTGTGCCTTGCCCACTGATAAAGGCAGAGGATCCATTGTTCCTACCATCACCTCCAGCTAAACCTAAAATAATTGATTCTTCTAAAACATCAATAACTTTGTCTTGGAACAAGCCATTATTTGATGGTGGCTCTCCAGTTACAGGATATATGGTGGAATATAGGAAAACCAATGATGATGACTGGACACTTGGTGTCAGTAACACTAAGAGCACAGAGTTCACTGTGGTGGGACTCACTTCAGGAGCAGAGTATGTCTTTGTAGTCAGATCACTTAACAAGATTGGTCAAAGTGAGCCAAGTCCTGAAACTGATCCTCAGATAGCAAAAGACAGAGAAGATGAGCCAGTTTTCCTAATCAGTAATGAAATGAGGAAGACACTGATTGTCAAAGATGGCAGCTCATTTACACTTAGAGTCCCATTCAAGGGAAAGCCTGTACCACATGTAATGTGGAACAAACCAGATGTTGATCTGAGAGTGAGGGCTGCTATTGATACAACCGATAACTGCACATCTATCACAATTGAGCAAGCTACAAGAGATGACTCAGGGAAATACACTGTAACCCTCCAAAATGTTGCTGGAACTTCTACACTGACATTGAGTGTAAAGGTCCTAGATTCTCCAGGCCCACCAGCCCACATTGAAATAAAGGAAGTCACCAAGAGCTCTGCAACTATTACATGGGATACTCCTGAGAATGAGGGTGGTGCTCCAGTCAAGAACTACCTTGTTGATCTTCGTGAGGCAACTAAAATGGGCTGGACCAGAATTACAGACAGTTGTCCCAGGTTGACTTTTAAAGTGAATGATCTTCAAGAAGGGGGTGTTTATTATTTCAGAGTTACCGGTGAAAATGAGTATGGTATAGGAGTCCCACTTGAGACCAAAGAAGGAACAAAGATTACAGGTAAAATAAAATTATTTTGTTGTATATTTTCTGTAGCACATTTATTTGATTAATTCAAATCTTTGATACATATTTTTTGCTTATGTGATACTTTTAATTTTTAGAAAAACCAAGTCCACCACCCAAGCTTGGAGTCACTGATGTCACAAAAGACAGTGTCTCACTAGCATGGCTTAAACCAGAACATGACGGAGGTAGCAGAATTACAAATTACCTGGTTGAGGCTCTTGAAAAAGGACAACAAAAATGGATAAAGTGTGGTTCCACCAAATCAACTCACTTTGTTGTCTATGGATTGAGAGAAAATGCTGAATACTACTTCAGAGTTCGGGCTGAAAACCATGCTGGACTTAGCGACCCCAAGGACATGGTTTTACCTGTGCTTGTAAAAGATCAGCTGGGCAAGTTATTTATTAATGATGTTTTATTTTTAAACATACACAATGTTTGATTGATTAGTTTTACATGATGTTAAATTATTATATATTCTTGTTGCTTTCTTTAATCAACAGAGGCACCTGAAATTAACATGAAGGACTTCCAACACAACACTGCCTATGTTAAGGCAGGTTCAAATCTCAAGATTGAGATCCCCCTCACTGGTAAACCACTACCAAAAGTATCCCTATCTAAGGATGGACAGGTTCTAAAGTCAACCATGAGATTCAACTCTGATGTGACAACTGACTCCCTTATAATTTCTTTGCGTGAGAGTGTTGCTTCAGACGCAGGCAGATATGATATCATGGCCTCCAACTCCAGTGGAACCACAAAGTCTTTTGTGAATATTGTGGTCCTTGACAGACCAAGCCCACCAGTTGGTCCTGTTGAAATGTGTGATGTCACAGAAGACAGTGTCAGTCTAAAATGGTTGCCTCCTGCTTATGATGGTGGTAGCCCAATCACCAACTACATTGTTTTCAAACGTGAGACCACTACTGCAAACTGGATAGAAGTCTCATCTGCTGTTGCACGGTGCACAATCAAGATCATGAAGCTGATTAATGGAGTTGAGTACCAGTTTAGAATCAGGGCTGAGAATCGTTTTGGCATCAGTGACCACATTGATTCACCAACTGTTACAGTCAGTCTTCCATACAGTGAGTAAAATTAATCTCTACAGCATAAGCTACAAATTGGTAAATACAAATCTATCTATGCGCATTTATGAAAACCTATTCTATTTAATTTCAGCACTCCCTGTGGCACCTTCACAACCATGGGTATCAGCTGTAACAAAGGAAAGTATTACTGTTAACTGGAAGGAGCCATCTTCAGATGGTGGAAGCCATGTCTTTGGATATCACCTTCAGATGAAAGACAGAAACAGCATTCTTTGGCAGAAAGTTAACACAACTGTTATCCGTGCTACACACTTCAAAGTATCAAACGTGAATGCTGGTCTGATCTATGAGTTCAAGGCTGCAGCTGAAAATGCTGCTGGCATTGGTCCAGTTAGCAAGCCCTCAGATCCTGTGCTTGCAATTGATGCTTGTGGTAAGCATTTAGTTTTCTGTAAATTGATCGTTACATGTGCTTAATCCATTAGTATTGATAATTGTAGTTTTCTTTTTGTTTAATCCAATGGAAACATTAACATTAATTGCCGCTGTTTTTTCCCCACAGAACCTCCAAACAACCTTAGAGTGACTGATATCACAAAGAGTTCCATTAGCCTTTCCTGGGAGAAACCCTCATATGATGGAGGAAGTAAAATGACTGGATATTTGATTGAAAGGAAAGATGGTCCAAAAGGCAGATGGTCAAAAGCTAATTTGACAAATGTTACTGACACAAAGTTTACTGTATCAGGCTTGACTCAGAATGAATCTTATGAATTCAGGGTCATGGCTAAGAATGCAGTTGGCTCCATTAGTAACCCATCAGCAACTGTTGGACCAGTCACATGTGTGGATACATATGGTGCCCCTGAGATTGAACTTCCTCCAGAATATCTTGATGTTGTGAAATATAAAGCAGGTGCTACAGTTCAGCTTAAAATTGGTATTATTGCTAAACCTCAACCAACAATTGAATGGTACAAGGATGGAAAAGAGCTTGAGTCTGGAGCTCAGATTTCCATTTCCAACGCCACTGTGTCTGCATGCATCTCAATCAGGGAAGCCAGCCGTTTGAATAGTGGAACATATGAACTCAAGATCAAGAACTCTTTAGGCTCAGCATATGCTGCTGTCAGAGTACTTGTCCAAGGTATGTTGCAAAGTTTATTACTGAATACCTCATCCACATCATGTAATCATTGCTTTAATGTGTTCATTGCTTCTGCTTAAATTAATATGTGATGTTAACTAACTGCATGATTTTGATAAGAATTGTACATTTCTGCCACATGGACACAGTCACCTCTGATAACGGATCACTCTTAATTGTAGAAAAATAATTTTTTTGTAAAGCTTGTTTGAAACAATATGTATCATGAAAACAGCTATACAAATATATGTGTGATGCATTAATTAGCCCTAATTTGAACAATTTTGGTTGAATGTTTGCTCACTTTCATTAGACAAGCCAGGACCCCCTGATGGAGAGATACAGTTCAAGAAAGTCACAGCAGATACTATGACTATCATGTGGGATCCTCCAGCTGATGAAGGTGGAGCAATGGTTACCCACTACATTGTGGAGAAACGTGAAACAAGCAGAATTTTGTGGTCCATTATCTCAGAAAAACTAGAAGACTGCATTGTCACAGTCCCAAGGCTAATTAAGGGCAATGAATACATATTCCGTGTTCGTGGTGTAAACAAATATGGAGTTGGAGATCCTCTGGAATCTAGACCAGTAATTGCAGAGAATTCCTTTGGTAAGGAGAATTTTTAGTAATAAAAATGTTTTTTTTATTATTATTATTATTATTATTATTATTATTAAATATGTTATCTAATGTAATTTAATGCTTCATTTTCCCCCATAGTTCCTCCTAGTCGGCCTTCTAAACCCCAAGTCACTATGATTACCAGGTCAACAATGACTGTGGTATGGGAAAGGCCAAGTTTAGATGGTGGCAGTGACATTGATGGATATTACTTAGAGAAGAGGGAGAAGAAAAGTCTACAGTGGTTCAAGGTTATTAAAGATCCAATTCGTGATACCAGACAGAAAGTCAGCAACCTCACAGAAGGAAATGAATTTCAGTATCGTGTCTGTGCAATCAACAAAGCTGGAGCAGGTCCATATTCTGATGTGTCCATCTTTTACAAAGCTTATGACCCAATTGGTGAGCTTATTTTGTTATTTCTTTTTATTGCTTTATTTTCCAGAATGTGGATATACATTTGTGCAAAGTGTGCATTGATATTTAAAACAGAATTTGTTATATACTCTTAATTGTTATTTTAGATCCACCAAGTGAGCCAACCAAGCTCAGAGTTGTTGATTCAACAAAGACATCTATTACCCTTGGATGGGTCAAGCCTGTCTATGATGGTGGCAGCGAAATTACAAGTTATGTTGTTGAACAAAGAATGGCAGATGAGACAGAATGGGGCACTATAAGTTCTAAAGGAGAAGTAAGAACAACTGAGTTTGTTGTGTCCCACTTGAAACCTGGAGTGTACTACTTCTTCCGTGTCTCTGCTGTTAATTGTGTTGGAACTGGACGTTCAATTGAGATGGTGCAGCCAATGCAAGCCAAAGATATTCTGGGTTTGTATTTTCTAACTGTCTAAAACAATAAAGAAATTGTTTAATTATGATACTGTGAATCTGATCAAATATGTTTCTCCTTAATTTTAACAGAGGAGGCGGATGTGGATCTTGACATCTCAATGTCAACTCAGTACATAGCAAAGGCTGGTAGAGATGTGGAGATTGTAATCCCTCTTAAGGGTAGACCTGCTCCAAATGTAACATGGAGAAAGGGAGACAAAAACATTAGTGGTGATGCAAGATATGCCATCAGAAACACAGAATACTCAACTACACTCATAATTCCAAAGGTCACAAGGGATGACACTGGCAAATATCTTCTTGAAATTGAAAATGGGGTTGGAGAGCCAAAAACCATCACAGTGTCTGTTAAAGTATTAGACACACCATCTGCTTGTAATAGGTTGATAGTGAAGAATGTGACACGAGGTAAACTCACTTTGAGCTGGGAACCACCCTATATAGATGGTGGCTCTCCAATCACAAACTACGTTGTTGAAAAGAAGGATGCTAAAATGAAGGCATTCACCATTGTGACAAATGAATGTGCCAATACAACCTACAGGGTTGATGGTCTGTCTGAAGAAATGTACTATTTCTTCCGTGTTTCTGCTGAAAATGAATATGGTGTTGGTGATCCTTGTGAGACTGCACAGCCTGTAAGAGCAACCGAGATGCCTGGTGCTGTAAAAGACCTTGTACTGGTGGACTCAACTAATACATCTGTATCGTTGGCGTGGACAAAGCCTGATCATGATGGTGGCAGTCACATTTCTGAGTACATTATTGAGAAGAAAACAAAGGAAGAGGAAGCTTGGAGTATTGGTGGTACGTGCAGGCGTTGCCAGTATGAGGTAACTCACCTTAAAGAACTTTCAGAAGTTTACTTTAGAGTATTCGCAAAAAATGAGAAGGGTCGCAGTGACTTCTCTCAAATTGGACCCATCACTGTAAAGGAACTCCTTATACCACCTGAGGCAAACCTTATTGACTATCCTAATTCAGAATTAAGTGTTCGCATTGGACAAAATGTGAATATTGATTTGCCCTACAAGGGTAAACCTAAACCAACGATTCAGTGGATGAAAGATGACGTGCCACTCAAGGAAAGTGAACAAGTTCGTTTCAGGCAAACAGAGAACAAGGCAAGTCTCATTGTAAGAAATGCAAGAAAGGAGAATGCAGGAAAATACACCTTGGTACTTGATAGTAAACTTGTCAAGAACTTCTTTGACATTAAAGTCATTACACTTGGGCCACCCTCTCAGCCTATAGGTCCAATTCGTTTTGATGAAATTAAAGCCCAGAGTATTATCATCTCATGGGATGAACCCCAGGACAACGGTGGAGGCGAGGTCACCTGCTATAGTGTAGAAAAGCGAGAGAAATCTCAAGCAGCATGGAAGATGATTTGCTCTAGTGTGGTCAGGACCACATTCAAGATACCAAATTTGGTTAAGGGTACTGAATACCAATTTAGGGTGCGTGCAGAGAACAAATATGGAATGAGCGAGCCTCTAACCTCATTAGATGTGGTTGCTGAACACCAATACAAGCCACCAGGTTCACCAGGAAAACCTGTAGTATTCAATGTTACAAGTGATGGCATGACTGTTCAGTGGGAAGCCCCAGGATTTGATGGCGGTTCTCCAATCACTGGATACCATCTTGAGAAAAAAGACAGGAACAGCTTATTGTGGATGAAAGTGAATTCCAGTGTTATCTCTGGAAGAGAATACAGAGTCATTGGACTTATTGAAGGTCTGGAGTATTCATTCAGAGTTTATGCACAAAACAATGCTGGAATGAGTCCAGTTAGTGAACAGAGCAAGCACAAACTGGCAATCTCCCCTGTTGGTAAGTCTTAGTATTGTCTTTATGGTCATATTCGTCTATGATAATCTTTTTTTTTTAATGCTTATGGTTTTAATTGCTCTACAGTATTCACCTTTTTTGCCAAAATTCCTTCTTTTCTTTTCTATTCTTTTCTTCAAAATATCTTATTTTTTCTTCTTTAGATCCTCCAGGCACACCTAACTGCATTGATGTTACTAGAGACTCTGTAACACTTCAGTGGGAACCACCGAAGCGTGATGGAGGCAGTAGGATTGTGGCATACAGTGTTGAAAGGCGTCAAGGAAGAGCACGTTGGTTGAGATGCAATTTCATTGACATCAGCGAATGTCAGTTTACTGTAACAGGTCTTGCTGCTGGTGATCGCTTTGAATTTAGGGTAATTGCCAGGAATGCTGTCGGAACAGTTAGTCCACCTTCTCAGTCATCTGGCTACATCATGACCAAGGATGAAAGTGGTATGTACATACAAAGGCATCATTCAATAGATATTGTTCTATATTAAATATGTTAAATAATCTAACTTTTTTTTTCTTTTCAGTTATCCCTGAGATTCAGTTTGAAGCTGAGAAGGCCCTCACCATCAAGGCAGGAGAAAATATTAAACTCAACTGCAGTATAAGTGGACGCCCTGTACCTCAAGTCACATGGTATAAAGATGGAAAGGAAGTTGATAAAATGCTGGTTGACATCACAACTGTTATTGGATCAAGCTCACTGTTCATCAGAGAAGCTGACCGCAATGACCGTGGTATCTACACAGTTGAGGCCAAGAACAGTTCAGGCACAACAAAAGTGGATGTTCTTGTCAGAGTACAAGGTATGATCTAAAATCAGTTTTGACTCAGTTTTAATAAAGCTGTTCTGGATTTGGTCATTGCTTATTTTCACTCTGTGTTATTCAGATACCCCTGGACCACCTGAGGGCCCGCTTCGCTTCACAAATATATCTGCAGAGAAAGCAACTCTTTGGTGGAGCCCACCTGAAAATGATGGTTGTGCACCTATCACTAATTATGTAATTGAGAAGCGTGAGACTTCCAGAATTTCTTGGGCACTTGTAACATCCAAGTGTGAAGCCTGCTCCTTTAATGCCACAAAACTGATTAAAGGCAATGAATATCAGTTCCGTGTATCTGCTGCCAATAAATTTGGTGTGGGCAAGCCACTAGAGTCTGATCCAATCATTGCTCAGATGCAATACAGTAAGTAAAAATATTTGTTCTTGATCCAATCATTTGTTAATTTAGTACCTGTTATTTTTTTGTACTTTAACACATTTTTGATATCTCACAGCGGTACCAGATGCTCCTGGAACACCTGACTGCACCCATGTGACAGGAAACAGTATCACTCTATGCTGGACAAGACCAAGACATGATGGTGGAAATGAGATTAAGCAATACATTCTTGAAAGACGAGAAAAGAAGAGCTTAAGATGGGTGAAGGTTTCTGCAAAGAGACCAATATCTGAGCTTAGGCATAGAGTAACAAACCTTACAGAAGGAAATGAATATGAATTCCGTGTTATGGCTGAAAATGGTGCTGGAATTGGACCTGCAAGTGGTACATCCAGATTGTTCAAATGCAGAGAACCAACAAGTGCACCCAGTGCTCCAACTCTGGTGAAGGTCATTGATTCCACCAAGATGTCTGTTACCTTGGAATGGACCAAACCAGTGTTTGACGGTGGTATGGAAATCATTGGTTACATTATTGAGATGTGCAAGGCAAGCCTTGAGGAATGGCACAGAGTCAACAACCAGACTTGCATCCACACACATTACGCAGTAACAGAGTTAGAACCTGGTGAAGAATATAAATTCCGTGTGTGTGCAGTCAATGGTGCTGGCAAGGGAGAATTCTCTGAGACTCCAAATGTAGTTCAAGCAGTTGATAGACTGACCTCACCTGAAATTGATATAGATGCAAACTTCAAGCAGACACATGTTGTGAAGAGCGGCGGAACAGTTACACTTCATATTCCCTTCTGTGGAAAACCAGCCCCACTTGCCACATGGACAAAGGCAGACGGAGATCTTGGTGTAATGGTGGATATTAATACCACAGACACATTCAGCACTTTGATAATTGAAAATTGCACCAGGTATGATGCTGGCAAGTATACACTCTCTCTTGAAAACAACAGTGGTCGTAAAGCCATTACATTAACAGTCAAAGTGTTGGACACACCTGGCCCTCCTGGACCTCTCTCATTCAAGGATGTAACAAGAGGTGCTCTGACACTCATGTGGGATGCACCATCCAATGATGGAGGTGCACGTGTTCATCACTACATTGTTGAAAAGCGAGAGGCAAGTCGGTTAAGTTGGCAAGAGGTCAGTGAAAAGTGTACACGTCAAATATTGAGAGTGGCCAACCTTGATATTGGTGTAGCATATTTCTTCCGGGTTATTGCTGAAAATCAGTATGGCAAAGGTGAGCCATTTGAAATGACGGAACCTATTATAGCCACAGAAGAACCTGCACCTCCTAAGCGACTGGATGTCATTGATACTACATCCTCAACAGCCAGTTTAGTATGGATGAAGCCTGAGCATGATGGTGGAAGCCGCATTACTGGATACATTGTTGAGACTAGAAAGAAGGGTTCTGATCACTGGGTTGTAGGTGGTCAAACCAAATCTTTAAAAATGGTTCTTGAAGGCTTGGTTGAGAACACAGAATATGAGTTCCGTGTTAAGGCTCAGAATGATGCTGGCATTAGTCAGCCACGAGATGCCCTAGCCTCTGTCATTATAAAGGAGCCACGTATAGAGCCAACAGCGGACCTCAGTGGCATAGATAAACAGCTCATCACTTGCAAAACTGGAAATTCCTTTGCAATTGATATTCCAATCAGTGGCAGACCAGCCCCCAAGGTAACATGGAAGCTTGAAGAAATGAAACTTAAAGAAACAGACAGAGTGTCGATTAAGATTTCTAAAGACAGAACAACTCTACTGGTTAAGGATGCCAAGAGAGGCGACAGTGGAAAGTACTATCTCACACTTGAAAATGTAGCCGGATCAAAAACATTCACTGTCACTGTCAATGTCATTGGTAGACCAGTCCCACCAACTGGACCTGTTGAAATTTCAGGAATATCATCAGAATCCTGTGTATTGACTTGGGGAGAATCTGCAGATGATGGTGGAACAGACATAACCAATTATATTGTTGAGAAACGTGAGTCTGGCTCCACAAAATGGCAGGTTGTGAATTCAAGTGTGAAACGGACCACCATCAAAGTAACTCATCTCACAAAGTACATGGAGTACACTTTCAGAGTCTGTGCTGAGAACAAGTTTGGTGTTAGCAAGTCTATTGAATCTCAAGCTATTGTTGCTGAGCATCCATTCAGTGAGTATTTAATACTTTATACAACTTTTTATTGATTTGATGAAATAGAGCATGAACACTGCTGTATTTATTTTTGTTGTTTTCAATCTGATAAGTGTTACATTTCTGTTTTCAGTCTCACCAAGCCCACCAACTCGCCCAGATGTAGTTTCAGTGTCTGCTAATGCAATTTCTATCCGCTGGGATGTGCCATATCATGATGGTGGAAGCCAAGTAAGTGGATACTGGATTGAGAAAAAGGAGCGTAATACCATTCTGTGGGTGAGGGAGAACAAGATTCCTTGCCTTGAGTGTCACTACAAGGTCTCTAACCTTATTGAGGGCCTCGAGTATCAGTTCAGAGTATATGCAATGAACATCGCTGGTTTGAGTAAAGCAAGTGAACCATCAAGACCAGTACTGGCTCTAAATCCAGTTGGTAGGTTTTTTTGTTACTTTCTACTGTCATTCATATGTATTGTTTTTATTCATGATAATTAATATTAATCAAGTGTTTTTGTCTGTATTTTCAGATCCACCTGGCAAACCAGATGTTTATGATGTAACCAAGACGTCAGTGTCTATTAGATGGTCTATACCATTCAATGATGGTGGCAGCAAGATTGTTGGATATGTGGTTGACCGCAAGGCATTAAGTGATAATGAAGAAGCTCGTTGGTTGAAGTGCAACTACACTACAATCACAGACAACTTCTTTACTATTACATCACTCAGTGAGGGAGAGCAGTATGAATTCCGTGTTATTGCCAGAAATGGTGCTGGAGTCCACAGCATGCCATCTGAATCAACAGGACTTATCACATGCAAAGATGAATATAGTAAGATGGTTTGCTTAATTGATGCATATTTAGACACACATATCTACTATTATGAATATCTGTTAATGCATTTTATTTATTTATTTCAGCACCACCAAAGGCTGAGCTGGATAGTAAACTTGTGGGTGAGACGATCACTATTAGAGCAGAATCAGACCTGGTTCTTGATGCTGCTGTTGGTGGAAAACCAGAGCCTAAGGTTTTTTGGGCCAAGGGTGACAAGGAGCTGGAACTCGGAGAGAAATACTCACTGACATACACAAGTACAAGAGCGATGGCGATCATTAAGTCATGTAATAGAAATGATACTGGAAGATACATCCTTACCGTGAAGAATGCAAGTGGAATCAAAACAGCTGCTGTCAATGTTAAAGTACTTGGTAAGAATGGAATAAATCACATACTGTTTCATTCAAAATACCTTTTATTGGCTGTATATTTCATGAGAAAATCTTTTATATTTAAGATACACCTGGTCCACCTGAGGGTACAATAACAATTAGCAGGGTCACAGAAGAGAAATGCACAGTTTCCTGGAAGATGCCAATGGAGGATGGTGGAGATCGTGTCACTCACTATATTGTTGAAAGACGTGAGACCAGCAGACTCAACTGGGCCATCATGGAAGCTGAATGCAAGTCTCTGTCTTGTGTCAGCACAAAACTGATCAAGAACAATGAGTACATTTTCCGTGTCAGAGGTGTAAATAAGTATGGGCCTGGTGTACCCTTAGAGTCTGAACCAGTGATTGCAAGAAATGCTTACAGTAAGTATGTTTCCATTAATAATTATAGTTTACCTACAGTAACAAGGGTAATGTATTAATATATGTTTGTAATTTACATTATAGCTGTTCCATCACCTCCGGAAGCACCAGAGATTACTGCTGTTGGAAAAGAACATGTCATTATTGAGTGGCTGAAGCCAGAGAGTGATGGCGGAAGTGAAATCAAAAACTACCTTGTGGATAAACGTGAGAAGAGTAGTGTTAGATGGACAAGAGTGAACAAAACCTACACCATTTATGATACACGCCTCAAAATCACTGGTCTCCTTGAGGGTAGTGATTATCAGTTCCGTGTTGCAGCTGTCAATGCTGCTGGCACCAGTGTTCCAAGTGATGCATCTCAGTACGCTCACTGTAGAGACCCAACATGTAAGTAACACTGACCTGTATGCCTTAATAAAATCTTAAACACAGAAAAATAGTAACATGCCTAACCTGCCTTCTAATTTTACAGATACCCCAGCTCCACCATCAGTTCCTCGTGTTACAGACACCACAAAGCACAGTATTAGTATAACATGGACACGACCAATGTATGATGGTGGATCCGATGTCACAGGCTATGTTGTTGAAATTCTGGAGGAGGGAACAGAGCAATGGTATAGAGCCACACAGAAGATACTGACAAGTACTCAGTACACAGTAGCTGGTCTGGCAAGTAACAAAAAGTACAGCTTCAGAGTGGCTGCAGTCAATGCTATGGGTACTGGAGAGTTCAGTGAAGGCAGTATTGAGGCTGCACCTTCAGAAAGAGTCGGTAAGATTTTTTAAAAAGTCTACATGGTTAGTTAGCCACCATCAAGCTATTAAAGCTCCTAAAGGCCTGTTTTTTGATGTGGATATAATGAATGAAATTTGTTATTGCTATGCTCTCAGAAATTCCTGATATTGAGCTACCTGACGAACTGAAGAAGACTGTTTGCATCAGAGCTGGCAACACTTTACGTCTTCATGTAACTACAACTGGAAGACCTGCACCAGTTGTTACCTGGAGAAAGCCTGGAATTGACCTACAATCCCGTGGATTAATAGATACTACAGAAAACACTACAACTTTAATAGTTGAGAAGGTTCATCGTTACGATGCTGGAAAATACACAATTGAGGCAGAAAATCCATCTGGCAAGAAAATAGTTACCATTCTTGTCAAGGTTTATGGTGAGTAAATTTCTGCAATTAATAATGAATACTGTGCATTCACTAAAATTAAATAAACCATATGTAACTTAGAGCAACACAAGCTTAAAGCTGTTTAAAAATTATCTTGTAGATACTCCTGGACCATGTGGTGCAGTAAATGTTAAAGATTACACAAAAGAGTCTGTTGTAATCACATGGGATGTGCCTACTGTTGATGGAGGTGCTCACATCAACAACTACATAATTGAGAAGCGTGAAGCTTCAATGAAATCTTACAAAACAGTTACAACAGAATGCAAGAAGACATTATACAGAATCCCTGGACTGGAAGAAGGAACACAGTACTTCTTTAGGGTCTTGCCTGAGAACATATATGGTATTGGAGAACCTTGTGAAATTACTGATCCAGTATTGGTTTGTGAAGTTCCATCTGTTCCTCAAGATCTGTATGTAATTGATACCACAAAATCTACTGTCATTCTTGGATGGGAAAAACCACTTCATGATGGTGGCAGCAGACTTTCTGGCTATGTTATTGAAGCCTGTAAAACTGAAAGTGACCGCTGGATGAATGTCGCTAATGCAAAACCATCTGTGCTACAGCACACAATTGTCTCACTGAATGAAAATGAGCAATATCTCTTCAGAATCAGAGCTGAAAATAGCAGAGGTGTCAGTGAGCCCAGAGATCTCATGACACCTGTAACAATACAGGAACAGAAAGGTAAGATATCATTAAAAACTACTGTATAATATGAGGAAAGCAGTAATTAATAAATGTTTTATATTATTTATTGTTTGTTTCAAACTTTCATTATTGTTATTTCTCTTTTCATTACAGTCATGCCAAAGATTGACTTGACTGGCATCCCACAAAAGATTGTCAATGTGCCAGCTGGTAAGCCAATTGTGCTCAACATTCCCATTAAAGGTAGACCTGCACCAGTGTGTTCATGGTTCTTTGGTGGAGTCAAGATGAAGGACAAGCTTGACCGCATCAAGATTGAGACAACTGCTAAATTTACTAAACTGACAGTCCGTGAAACCACAATTGATGATACTGGTGACTACACTCTTGAGGTGAAAAATGTCACTGGAACAGTAACTGAGGTCATCAAAGTTATCATTCTTGGTGAGAAACAATTTACTTTTCCCTACAGTTTTTTTGTAGCTACATATAAAGTGTTTTTGAAATTTACCAAATGTATTTCATCCCTAGACAAACCTGGAGTATCTGTTGGGCCTATGAAAATTGATGAGGTTGATGCCACATCAGTGACCTGCAGCTGGGAACCACCACTGAAAGATGGAGGTGCGAATGTCAGTGGTTACATTGTTGAGCAGCGGGATGCGCATCGACCTGGATGGATGCCAGTGTCTGAATCTGTCACAAGACCCGTGTTCAAATTTACAAGACTTGCGGAAGGAACTGAATATGTATTCCGTGTTGCTGCAACAAATCGTTTTGGAATTGGCGGGTTCTTGCAATCTGAAGTTGTTGAGTGCAAGAGTGCCAAAAGTATGTTTTTTCTACCTCTGATGTTTTCTATATCTATTTACATTTAATTTATTTAAAAAATAAATGTATTGAATTAATCTCTTTCTTTTCTAGCTGTACCTGGAGCACCAAGCACACCTGAAATACTTGATGTGTCTCATGATGGCATGACACTTACTTGGTCACCACCCGAGGATAATGGTGGTTCTACTATTGCTGGCTACATCATTGAGCAGAAAGAGGCTGGATCTGACAGATGGATTCGTATAAATAAGAATACAGTGACCATGACAAGATACAGAGCCACAGGACTTATAGAGGGTCTTGAATATGAATATAGAGTTACAGCAATCAACTCTAGAGGCTCTGGAAAACCAAGTGCAAACTCTAAACCAACTATTGCAATGGATCCTATCGGTATGTACGAAGGATATATATGTAAGTAAATCAAATTGTCAGTAGAACAAACATGACCAATGTGTTCAATTTTCCTCTTAAACAGAGCCTCCTGGTATTCCACTGAACCCAAGAGTCACAGATACCACAAGAACATCAGTTTCACTTGCTTGGTGTCCTCCGGAGGAAGAGGGAGGTGCCGCTATAACTGGCTATCTAATTGAGATGCAGAAGGTTGACCAGGTTGAATGGACAAAATGCAACACAACACCAACAAAGATTTGTGAATACACTCTGACACACATGCCTCAGGGAGCTGAATACAAGTTCCGTGTGATGGCATGTAATGCTGGTGGAGCTGGAGAACCAGCTGAGATTCCAGGAGTGGTCAAAGTTACAGAAATGCTTGGTAAGATTAAATACATAATAATGAGAATAAGAATATATATATCATTCTGTCATATATGTATATGGCAGTACATATTTGTTTTGTAAAAACTGTATTTTGTTTTCAGAATATCCTGATTTTGAGCTGGATAAAATCTACCAGGAAGGCTATGTTGTCAGACAAGGTGGTGTCATCAGGCTATCTGTGCCCATCAAGGGCAAACCCTTCCCAACATGCAAGTGGACAAAGGAAGGTCGTGACAATTCTCACAGAGCTATGATTGCAACCAGTGAAGAACGTACTGAGCTTGTGATTAAGGAAGCCCATAGAGACGACACTGGCACCTATGACCTTGTGTTGGAAAACAAATGTGGAAAGAAGGCTGTCTATATTAAGGTTAAAGTTATTGGGCGCCCAGATCCACCTGAGGGTCCTCTTGAATTTGATGATATTCAGGCACGTTCAGTCAGAGTGAGCTGGAGACCACCCTCAGATGATGGAGGCTCTGATATCTTTGGTTACATTGTGGAGAGGCGAGAGGTGCCTAAAGCAGCTTGGTGTACTGTTGACTCACGTGTGGTCGATACATCCCTTGTGGTCAAGGGACTGAAGGAAAATGTTGAATATCACTTCAAGGTTACAGCAGAGAACCAATTTGGCATAAGCAAATCCCTGAAATCTGACGAATCTGTTACACCAAAGACTCCTCTTTGTAAGCATTTTTATGATTGCTATTTTTAACATCTTTCTTAATAACCCCTTTTAAATTATTGTAAATAACAATAATTATTGTATTGTGTTGTTTGTTTTGCATAAAGGTCCACCAGAACCTCCTAGTTTCCCTCCAGAAATCATGGATGTTACAAAGACCACGGTTGGCCTATCCTGGTCAAGGCCAAAGGATGATGGTGGATCTCGTGTAACTGGATACTATGTTGAGAGAAGAGAGGTTTCCACTGAGAAGTGGGTGCGTCATAACAAGACTCATATCACAACGACAATGTATACTCTCACTGGTCTCATCCCTGATGCAGAGTACCAGTTCCGTGTGATTGCTCAAAATGATGTTGGTCAAAGTGAGCCTGGACCTGTATCCGAGTCAGTTGTGTGCAAAGATCCATTTGGTATGTAACCCTCCCCCTCTCCCTTCCAAACAAGTTAATAATTTGCCTTAAGAAAAAGTATACAAAGTACTTTTACATGCTTAAACTATTCTCTGTTTTCAACAGATAAGCCAGGCCAACCCGGTGAGTTTGACATCATCTCTATAACCAAGGACAGCATAACCATTCACTGGTTACGTCCTGAATCTGATGGTGGAAAAGAGATCCTTGGGTACTGGATTGAATACAGGCAAGCAGGTGAAAGTGCCTGGAAGAAATGCAACAAAGAGCGTTCAAAGGACAGACAGTTTACCATGGGAGGACTCATGGAAGCTACAGAGTACGAGTTCAGAGTGCTTGCTGAAAATGAAGCTGGACTAAGTAGACCAAGAAGAACAGCAATGGGCATTAAAACCAAACTGAGTGGTACGTTAATAAAATGTTACTTCGATTTTTTTCTGACACCGACATTCACAAAGTATGCAAAGTGACTAACATGTTCAATTTATCCTCTAGTCGGAGAGGCTCCATGCCTGAAAGAGGAAATCAAAGAAATTACCACTAAACTAGGAGAATCTGGAACAATGGCATGCCAAATTATTGGAAGACCTCTTCCTGAAATCAAATGGTATAGATATGGAAAGGAGTTGATCCAGAGCCGAAAGTACAAGATGAGCTCTGATGGACGAAATCACTCTCTAACAGTATTCACAGATGAGCAAGAAGATGAAGGCTTGTACACATGCAGAGCTATCAATGAGGCAGGTGAAATTGAGACCAGTGGCAAGCTCCTATTGCAGGCTGCACCACAATTCCATCCTGGATTCCCATTGAAGGAGAAATACTATGCAGGTTGTGGAACAAGCCTACGTCTCCATGTCGTTTACATTGGTCGCCCTATTCCACAAATCATGTGGTTCTATGGCAAGAAGCCTCTCAATCCATCTGAGAATGTCATAATTGAAAACACAGAAAGTTACACTCACTTAGTTATCAGAAATGTCCAGCGTAAGACAAATGCTGGAAGATATAAAGTGCAAATGAGCAACAAATTTGGCACAGTGGATACTGTTCTCCGTGTTGAAATCCAAGGTAAATTGAAGCCTGTTTTTAATAAAAGATAAATACCTTACTGGCAATAGACATGTTTTCCATGAAAATATGTTGGAAAATGTAACAAATACTGTCCCTGTCTTTCCAGATAAACCTGTAATACCTGAAGGACCAATTGTTGTTGATGCTCTCTTGAAGAGTTCTGTGATCATTAGCTGGAAACCACCCAAGGATGATGGTGGATCAATGATCACGAATTACATTGTAGAGAAAAGTGAAGCAAAAGAGGGTGAACAATGGCATCTTGTGTCATCAGCTATCTCAGGAACCACATGCCGTGTTCCAAACCTTATTGAGAGTGCTGGATATTACTTCCGGGTTTCTGCACAGAATCAGTATGGAATAAGTGAACCTCTTGAGATTCCATCTGTTGTCATTATCAAGAGTCCATTTGGTAAGTTTCATGGATTAGTGCTCTTGAACAGTCTAAAAAATATATATATTTTTAAAATAAATAAACAAAATATACATTGTCAAATCTATTTATTAATTTATCTATCAAATTTATTCCTCTTTATTTCCTAAAACAGAGAAACCTGGAGTCCCACAAAAGCCATTTGTTTCTTCTGTAACAAAGGATTCATGTGTTGTTTCTTGGAAAGCACCAACCAATGATGGAGGTGCCAAAATTAAAAACTATTACCTTGAAAAAAGAGAGAAAAAACAGAACAAATGGATTGCAGTTACTACAGAAGAAATCCATGAGACATCTTACACTGTTAAAGGCCTTCTTGAAGGTTTTGAATATGAATTCCGTGTCAAATGTGAAAATATTGGTGGAGAGAGTGACTGGAGTGAGATTTCAGAACCAGTCATTCCAAAATCGGATACAGCTCTCCGTGCCCCATTCTTCAAGGAAGAATTGAGAGACATGTGTGTCAAATACAGGGCAACTGCAACATTTGTCACAAAGGTTATCGGACATCCCATGCCAGTGGTTAAATGGTACAAGAACGGCAAAGAAATTTTACCTGATGGAGAGAAAACAAAGGTCCAAGAATTCAAGGGAGGTTATTTCCAAATTGTTATCAGCAATGCTGATGAGAATGATGCAGCTGTTTACCAAATTAGAGCTACTAATCAGCTTGGATCAATCTCAAAAAGTATGAACCTGGAGGTTGAGGGTAAGTATTTCTAATTGTTTGTTTTGAACAGAAGTCTATTCAACCTGAGCACTTTTCTAAAACCAATATCTGTATATTTTTTAATCCTGCAGCACTGCTGTATTATAATCCTGCAGCACTTCTCTTTTGTCTTATGATTGTTTTTTTTATTTATTTATTTTATTATTTTCTAGTTCCTGCCAAGATTTACTTGCCATTACATCTCCAAGGCATGGGAGCTGTTCATGCCATTCGTGGTGAAGTGGTTACCATCAAGATTCCCATTAGTGGCAAACCTGATCCTGTTGTGACTTGGCAAAAGGGACAAGAGATGATTAATAATACAGCTTACCATCAAGTAATTATCACAAGATCTTTCACCTCCCTGGTGTTCCTAAAGGGAGTACAAAGGAAGGATTCTGGCTACTACATCATTTGTGCCAAAAATCGATTTGGTGTGGATAAACAGACAGTTGAACTTGCTGTTGCTGATGTCCCTGATCCACCAAAAGATGTTAAAGTCAGTGATATTGGCAGAGATACACTCACCCTCACTTGGAGTCCTGGAAATGATGGTGGAAGTGAAATTATCAATTACATTATAGAAAAGTGCCCTACCACTGGAGACAGATGGATTCGTGTTGCTCAGACATCTGAGACCCAATACACCGTGATGAGTCTCTTTGGCAAAACAAAATACCAGTTCCGTGTGATTGCAGAAAACCATTTCGGCTTGAGTGGTCCATCTGTGCCAACTGATCCTGTGACAACAAAAGAAGACAAGTTAGCAATTCGAAACTATGATGAGGAAGTGGATGAAACAAGAGAGATTACAAAGGAGGAGGCACCACATTCAAAAGTCAAACTTTTGCCATCTCTGTACACAGTCTCTGAGGAACTTGCACGAAATGGACAGTTTGGAATTGTACATCGCTGTGTGGAAATTAGCTCCAAGAAGACATTCTTGGCAAAATTCATCAAAGTTAAAGGTGCTGATCGAGAACTGGTTGCAAGAGAAATTGAGACACTCAATATTGCAAGACATAAAAACATTGTTTATCTTCATGAATCCTTTGATAGCCTGGAAGAATACGTCCTTATCTATGAATTCATATCTGGTATGGACATCTTTGAGCGTCTTGGTACTAACTTTGACCTCACAGAGCAAGAAATTGTTCGGTATATGAGACAAGTGTGTGGAGCCCTTAAGTTCTTGCACAGTCACAACTACTGTCATTTTGATATCAGACCTGATAACATTGTTTATTCTACAAGGAAGAGCAATACAATCAAGATCATTGATATGGGTCAAGCAAGGTTGCTTACACCTGGAGAAAACATCAGGATTCAGTTTACTGCCCCTGAGTACTGTGCACCTGAAATCCACAACAGTGATTTTGTCACCACTGCCACTGACATGTGGTCTGTAGGTGTTCTTGCATATGTCCTCCTTAGTGGACTTAATCCATTTGCTGCTGAATCACACCAGAAAATGGTTGAGCACATTTCAAGTGCAGAGTATGTGTTTGACAGTGAAGCCTTTAAAGAGACCAGCCTTGAAGGTATGGACTTTGTCGACAGACTGTTGACTAAAGACCGCAAGCTACGTATGACTGCCTCTGAAGCTTTGGAGCACCCTTGGCTCAAGATGAAATTGGAACATGTTAGTTCAAAGGTCATCAAGACTTTGAGACACAGAAGATACTACCAATCACTGGTGAAAAAGGAATGGAGCACTGTTATTTCAGCAGCACGTGTTGCCTATGGTGGTGGCTACAGAAACCAGAGAAATGTTTCCATTGGCAGAGTGAAAGTTGGACATCCTGAACAAGGCTTGAGAGCGGGTCCTGTCATGCATTGCTCTGCTGAAGAGGGAGGACATATCAGGTTTGTGTGCTGCATTGAGAACTACAACAGAAACACCGAAGTGACCTGGTACTTTGGTTCCCGCAAACTGACTGCAAGCCACAAATATGAAATCAGTTATGCTAATGGAGTTGCTAGCATCTATGTTAAAGACATTGAAGAATGTGACGATGGATTTTATAGATGCAAGGTTGTCTGTGAAGACAGGGAGGATAGTGCATATGCTGAGTTGTTTGTTGAGACAGTTAGGTCCTACCGAGAATACTATCTGGGACGCTCGCTCAAGAAACCAAGGCGTAGAATTGACAAAACAAAAATTTTGCAGAGGCCTCCAGAGTTTACTTTGCCATTGTACAACCGTGCAGCATACATTGGTGAAGATGTGCGCTTTGGTGTAACAATTACAGTCCATCCAGAGCCAAGTGTAACATGGTTAAAGGCCGGGCACAGGATCAAACCAGATCCTACAAAATACACATTCACAAGTGACAAGGGTCTTTATCAACTCATGATACACAATGTTGATCTCAGTGATGATGCTGAATACACTGTTGTAGCAAACAACAAGTTTGGTGAGGACAGTTGCAAGGCCCGTCTCACTGTAACACCACATGTTGTTGCTGAGGACAATATGAGACCAATGTTCAAACGTCTCTTAGCTAATATTGAGTGTGTTGAGGGTCAAAGCGTCCGCTTTGACTTAAGAGTATCAGGAACCCCTGCTCCAACTCTGAAATGGGAGAAAAATGGGAAACCTCTTGAGTTCAGACCACAAGTTGAAGTCATTCAAGAGGATGTAGAACATCATGTTCTACATATCAGAGAAACCCTCACAGAGGATTCAGGCACATACAGAGTCACTGCAACAAATACAGCTGGATCAGCAAGTTGTCAAGCTTCTCTCAAAGTTGAACGCCTAACATACACAAGGAGGGAGTTCAAGAGTGAGGAAGAGAGGCAGACGTATGTAAGGAACCAAATAGAAAAGACACTGAAAATGGCACAACAGTTCTCAACAGCAGAGGTTGTTACACTTAACCCTGTAGCACAGGAAGCTTTGAAGGAAGCTGCTGAATTATATAAACCTGCATTCAGCACCAAAAATGTGCAGGGTGAGTTTGACATCTCTGTTAAAGAGGATCAAGAACTAAAGAAAATAAAAGAGGAAGAGAAGAAGATACGTATGCCTTATGAAATCCCTGATGCTCGTGCATATGATCCAACTGTTCTCAGTGAAGATAAGTTGATCAAACACTTTGTGCCCCTATCTGACATGAAATGGTACAAGAAACTACGTGACCAGTATGAGATTCCTGAGAGAATGGAAAGAATTGTCCAGAAGAGACAGAGGCGTATTCGTCTTTCCAGATGGGAGCAATTTTATGTCATGCCACTGCCTAGAATAACTGACCAGTACAGACCAAAGTGGCGCATTCCTAAACTTACACTAGATGATTTAGAAACTGTTCGACCAGCAAGAAGATCACCATCCCCTGAGTCAGAGGCATCATTCAGACTGAGAAGACGCTCACTAGGAGATCTTTCAGATGAGGAGCTCCTCGAGGGTGAGGACTATCTGACAATGAAGAGAACTGAAAAAGAAAGGCAAGAGCTTGAAGAAGAACTTGAACTTGGCTTCTCTGCCTCCCCACCCAGTGGAAGCCCCGTGCGCTTTGAGCTGTCTGCACTGCATCATGCCTCACCCAGACCTGTTCACAAAGCTGAAGTGAGACGCGTAGAGACAAAACATGTAACAACAACTGAGCAAGCTCGGGGCTCTCCTCCTCCCATTTCATATTTCATGAGGAGGAGGAGATCATTGTCTCCAACATACATTGAACTGATGCGTCCTGTCTCTGAACTCATCAGACAACCTCGTGCCCGCATCTCAACAGAGGCTGAAGTTGAAATTATTGAAAGAAGATCACCCACCCCTGAGAGGACACGTCCTCGATCACCAAGTCCTGTGTCAACTGAGAGAAGATCTTCCAGATCCTCCTCTAGATTTGAAAGGTCTGCAAGATTTGACATCATGTCTAGATATGAAGCAAGAAAAGCAGCTCTCAAATCTGAGCGCAAGTACCAGGTTGTGACACAACAGCCCTTCAGTCTTGACCATACTCCACGTATCACAGTAAGAATGCGTTCTCACCGTGTACCATGTGGACAAAACACTAAATTCACATTGAATGTTCAATCAAAGCCAGATGCTGATATCCAGTGGTTCCATAATGGACAACAAATACAAGAGAGCAGCAAATACCAGTTCACAAATATGAGTGGGGTCCTGTCTCTTCAGATTAATGACTGTCAGGAAGAGGACAGTGGCACATACCGTGTCGTCTGCACAAATTCAAAGGGTGAGGCATCAGACTATGGAACTCTTGATGTTTCAGGTGGAGCATTTACTACGTACTCTTCAAGACGTCGAGATGAAGAGGCTCCAACACCATTTGTACCTGATATAACAAAAACTGATTGTTATCATTCAACAACAATCAGAGCTTCCTCTGCCTCAAGAACTCACTTGGAGATCAAAGAAACCAAAACTAAATTGACAGAGAGACGTGAAGTTTCTGCCTTTGAAAAGTATGAATCGCAGAAGCTTGCATCATCTCCAATTAGATATGCGTCCGCTGAATACCTATCATCAGCTTCATATTCATCCTCTGAAAGGCATACAACATCAAAGATAAAAGAATCAGAAACAACATCTGAAATTTCAGTAAAGAAAGTGAAAGCTACTCTTTCAGCCAAAATACTCACAAAACCACAGTCTCTGACTGTATCTGAGGGTGACTCTGCACGATTTGTCTGTGATATTGATGGAGAGCCAGCACCAAGTGTCACATGGATGCATGAGGGAAGAACAATTGTCTCTTCACACCGTATCCATGTGTCTACAACACAATATAAGTCTACATTTGAAATTTCATCAGTTGTGTATTCAGATGAAGGCAGTTACACTGTAGTTGTAGAAAATTCAGAAGGAAAGCAAGAGGCAAGGTTTACCTTAAGTATTCATAAACAAATAATTAAAGAGGAAGGTATACCTACACAAGTGAAGCCACCAGAACCCTCAGTGACATCTCCAGTGCCATCAGTTAAATCTCCAGAGACATCAGTTGTATCTCCAGTGCCATCAGTAAAGTCTCCAGAGCCCTCTGTGAAATCCCCAGTGCCATCAGTAAAGTCCCCAGAGCCCTCTGTGAAATCCCCAGTGCCATCAGTAAAGTCCCCAGAGCCCTCTGTGAAATCACCAGTGCCATCGGTAAAGTCTCCAGAGCCTTCGGTAAAGTCTCCTGTTCCCTCAGTGAAGTCTCCAGAACCCCAAATTAAATCACCAGAACCCACTGGTGTTAAATCTCCTGAACCTCGAATTAAATCTCCAGAGGGTGTCAAATCCCCATTGAAATTGAAGTCACCAGAGCCAGCTGCCTCTCTTCAGAGGGTAAAGTCTCCACCTCCTATTAAGTCTCCTGAACCAACCACCCCTCAAAGAGTAAAGTCTCCAACAGCTCTGAAGTCTCCTGAGCCTATAGCTTCACCTCCCAGGGTAAAATCCCCACCTCCAATTAAGTCTCCTGAGCCAGTTGCATCCCCTCTGAGAGTTAAATCCCCTACAGGACTTAAGTCTCCTGAACCTCAGAGAGCCAAATCCCCACCAACAGTCAAATCTCCTGAGCCGATCATGTCACCTAAAAGAGTTAAATCTCCACTTACAGTGAAATCCCCAACCCCCTCAAAGGAAGTACCACCAAAGATCATTCAGCAACTCAAAGCTGAAGCATATGAAGACAAAATTAAGATGATCTTTGTTGCAGAGAGCTCAGTAAGAGAAGTTGTGTGGTACAAGGATAGCAGAAAACTGAGTCAAAGTAGTCGGTTCCAGATTCATTCATCTGCAGATGGAACTTGCTGTCTCTATATATCTGATGTCTCCGAGAGTGACCAAGGGGAATACTCCTGTGAAATCATAAGTGAAGGAGGAGCAGTGTCAAGAACATCATTCTCTTTTGTTGGTCAAGTGTTCCAAGCAATCTACACAAAAGTAACTGCATTCGTGGCTACACAAATGGCAGTTCAAGGTACATGTCCTTTTGCATAAATTCTCATCCATTTAAAATCTTGATGTCCATTCTTCTCAGTGCCAGTGCTTTATGTAAAAGCTTTATTTATTTATTTATTTATTTTTTTCCCAGAATCCATGTCATCCCAAATATGTGGGGGAAGCGAAATGATTCTTAAGAGGGACAGTGCAGCTGTTAGCAGTGTGCATGAAAGCTTTTCTTCTAAATCCATCCAAATGGAGAGCACAATGCAAGAGGCATCCTTCAGCAGTTCTTCAATGGCTGAGATGAAATTTGAAACTATGTCAATGTCTAGCATGTCCTCTATGACATCGGAGTCAGCATATGCAATGAGCTCAAGTAGTATAATGTCAAGTCATTCACATGTTGAAGAATCTTCAATTAGAGCAGCCCTCCACAGTGCTCAAGGTAAGGATCAATTTGATTAAAACCAATCATGAATACCAATTTTTTAAATAATGTTGTAATATGGATGAATATCATTTTAAATACATTTATTTCATAGGCTTAGCTCCAAGAATTGAAGCTCTTCCTGAAGATATCAGCATAGAAACTGGAAAGGTTCTAACAGTGGCCTGTGCTTTCTCTGGAGAGCCAGTACCTCGTATTGAGTGGTCACGTGGTGGAAAGAAACTGCCTGGCGAGGAAGAAAGCAGTAGGTTCCATATCGAGACAACAGAGGACCTAACCACACTCATCATCACTGGTGTGAAAGAGAGTGATGCTGGGACATACACACTCAAACTGTCCAATGAGCATGGATCTGACATGGCAACTGTTACCATCAGCATTCGATCAAAGTAAAGCCATAATTTCTACCCCCACCCCTTCCTTTATTAAGCGACTTTTGTATTTATTAAATGAGCGGAGAAAAAGTCTTGATAAATACCTGGATATCTGTTCCTGTAAATATAAACTATTTTTATACCAAACTTGACATTAATTTATGCCAATCTAGACTAAAGTCTAAAGTTATTATAAAATATGCCATATTGGATAATTATGACTTAGGATTTTGATCCATTTTTCTGTGACATGTACATAATGTATATAGCCGAATTTAACGGTTATGGAAAATGTATGAATTGTTATTTATAACAATATTAACTGAAACAAATGGAACTAAATGTTTATCAGGAGAAAGTTTCACATGGAACGAATACCTTGATAAACCTGAAACTAAACTCTGTGCCTCAACAATAAGTTGAAGTCTTAAGATTGCCTCAACAGGTAGAGAAGGCTCCCTGTTGACGTTAACACTAAATCTAAGAGACTAAGTTATACCTGCATGTTTACACGTGCAGTGATATTATAAGCATACTCTTATGCATTGTTACTTGAACGTAAGGCCTTGAGTGCTGTTTGCATTTTACCCTCATGTAAGCAGGGCGACTAGGCCTTGTGTTCAGACTGACTATGTCATACCACCATTTTAATGACAAGCTCAAGGTGCGAGCGGCCTGCACTTTATGAGCAAAAATTTTTAATGTGCTTTGTTTCTGGCAAGGGACTGCTTGAATAAACTTTCAAAATTAACATCTCCTGGCCAATAAGGAAAGTATATCTTGTACTTCCTTGCAGAAGCAGAGCCTCCTCTTGGAGGATTGCTTTGAAGCATTGTGTGTTTGTGTGTTAGCTTTAGAATTCACCTTGTCAGTTGTTGGGCAAACATCAAGAAAGTGTGCCACAGCAACTCCACCTGCTGTGCAATGGGAAAGAAATGATTTAGTATCTAAATGCCCTGCACTTTGGTTTGATTTTATGTAGAATTGTAGTATTATCTATATATGCAACCTCCTTGAGTATTAATGATTCAATAAAGCATGTTCTCAGCACTAAATTTAGTCTTGTCTTTATTCTGTGGTCTCAGTGTGTGTCAATTAATTATAGCACAATGATTTATTTAATCTTTTGTTATTTTTTCAATCTGTTTGTCTTTATTTTATTAGGAAAGTGGAGTATAGACAGTAAAGTAGTTTTGAGAGAGGTGGAATAGGATTGAGGCATGACAGAGACTCCAACAAGTAAGCATGTGTATATGTAGCGAATAGATTTATTCACCAGGCAATCAGTAATGCCTGACACAGTCAGGGCCTTTTTAATATTATTATTATTATTACTATTATAACAGCACACTTTAAGTTCAGGAGAGAGAGGATGTTAATTAAAGAGGGTAGGGAGAAAGATTGGACTCACTGAATAATGGATAACTGTGACCAGAGTATTTCTACAATAGCTTCGATAATCAAAACATATTATTTCTGATTAATGCTGTATCCACTTTTCCAGGTGTCTTTAAGTCTAAGACAACTACTATATTGGCACAACAGTAACAAAGTATTACTGAATGCACATTTAATCAACTTTTAGATTTTTTTAAATTTTCTGTTGTACTCTGCATAACCTACGATTATATGTATACTGATTATGCATTAATGGGAAAAAAAGAAAGAAAAACAAAATGAGTGCAGATTTCACAACATTACAGAATAAGACTTGTTGTTATTGTTGTTGTTATTATTATTATTATAAGTTAATTGATATATAAATGGTTCCGAAGAAAATTGTCATTTGGGCACAGAATTTAAAGTAAGGCTTATTCATTTTTCAGTGACTTTGTATTGTACAGGGGTTGAAGCAAAAAAAAGCCTGAACTTTTTTCTGGGGGTTGGGGGGTTGCGGGGGTGGACACATACACGGGGTTATTTGGCAAAAAAAAAAAAAAAAAGAACATTATTTGAAAATGATTTTCCTTGAAACTAACTAGTAACATATCTGCCCTTGCCATTAGCCCTTGACAGGCTCAGACTACAGATTATGGTGGGCTATTTGAAACAGCAATACCAGGAAAGGTTACTCACTATAATGCAAACACATGTAACATTTAGGATGCTTTTGAAATCAAGTTTTGCTAGTTAGATTTGTCCTTGACAGGGTACAAGACCTACAATTTAAAACATGAAATTTCTGAAATTGTTTTGTTCAAAATAAATAATAGTAAATTAAATCCTAGGAAATTAATATACAATAGGAAATACACAAAGACAGTTTACTACAGAAAACTACAGTTCAGTTCAATTAACAACAACAAAATAAAATGCTCCAAGAACTGGTAACTTAAACAGGGTTCGTACAGATACTGCAAAATGAAATTCCAGGACTTTCAAGGGCTTTTCAAGCACTTCTCTTTTGGTTTTCAAGGACTAAAATCAGATCTCACTTATCACTTATCAAAAAATATTGTTATTGTCTTTCAAATTCTAATATATAAACTAATAAAACAAATGGTACAAATAAAGTGCAGCACATGCAAAGAATGCAATGATTGTGGCAACTTTAATATTTGAAAGGATACTATGGCAAAGTTATCGCTTTCCTTATTCAAACTGATTTTTTTTTCACGAGTATATGACTGACCTGAAGAATGAAAGCTAGGCTATATCATACACTTGGAAAATTATGAGCTACTGTATATCACCGCTTATCGACACAAGGGGGTGTGACAATAAACTTAGCTCATGAGATGAGACAAAATGCATATACTTGGTTCAGTAGAACGAGACAATGTTTTCATAATTTAAGAAATATTTGAATGACAAAATATTTGTCTATTAATTACAAAAAGTAGAACAATGCAGTTATATTTTGAAATGTTTTAACAAATCTAGGGCATAACTAACAATTATTTTGCTAATCAAGTAATTACTGATTATTTTGACAAGTATGTTTTAGTAATACAAATAGAACTAAGTGAAAAACAGGCTTTAATATGACTATATTTATATATAAACTAACGATGAGGCAATAATAATTGGCTCAAATAAAGTATCAAAACCAAGTACATGGTTTTATTGAACAACTGCACACACACACCGTGAACACACACCCGGAGCAGTGGGCAGCCATTTTTTGCTGCGGCGCCCGGGGAGCAGTTGGGGGTTGGGGTTCGGTGCCTTGCTCAAGGGCACCTCAGTCTTGGTATTGAAGGTGGGAGAGAGCGCTGTACATTCACTCCCCCCACCTACAATCCCTGCCGGTACGAGACTCGAACCCGCAACCTTTGGGTTAGGAGTCCGACTCTCTAACCATTACATAATGTAATATGCCTATATTATAACAAATACCTGCAGAGGGCGCCAACGGCCTGGTGATGTTTCATGTGATTCAACGACGTTTAAATCCATTTAATTACAATATTTGGCCATATGCAAAGTGAGAAACTTTTATTTTGAAATCGCGATCGACAATAAATCGCACATTTAGAAATATGTTGATGTATTCTGTGTTGGCATAGGTTTATAAATGACTTAAGTTTCAAATTAAGTGAGATAAGGCACAGTTTTCCTAGATGAACGTTAAGCAACCCAAACTCACCGCATATGCAGAGGAAGAGTTTAGCCCCTTTCACATATAGCCCTACAGTCTTCACTGGTATATTGCCGTTAAGAGATCATGTGTGAACAGGACCTTTTCAAAACTACAGGTAAATTTGTTCTGCCAATCATATCGTTCTTATGGCGACGACATGATTACTCTGAGCTGTTTACAAAGCTCCATTAATTATATAGAAATGAACTTTTCTATATAAATGGCTCTAGATGGAAATCTTTGACCATTGCGCCTCGCAGCTTTTTCAGAATGTGTCGCGCTCATCAGCTGCGACTCTGCAGTTGGATACTATTGCGCGTCTCATGATTATAGGACCAAAAAATATCTGATTGGCCAGTAATGCTAGTTTGGTTGAGAGTGAAAGCTGTGTTCCTCTGATACATTGGTAGGCGAACTCATTAACTCGAACGTGATATCAACAAGGTTTTTTTTTTTTTTTAATGTAGGACTATGCCTTGTCCAAATACCCACACTTTGCGGTCTTTGCACTTGACCACTTGACTAATTGTATGACATATTTCCTGTATTTGGCCCAAGTGTTCAAGTGAGGATGAAGACCACAAATGAAATTATATCATGTTTATTAGCAACACAGCATGTGAGTGAGAATAGGCTTGTTTGAGATGCGCCTCGCCTTGACTGAAATGTAGGCGAGAGTAGGCAGGTACAGTGAGGGGAGGAGTGAGCCCTGTCCCAAATGGAACACTTCATGTGCACTTGCGGTCTTACGGACTTACAATGGCCGCCGCATGCGGTGTCCGTTAAGTCCACGTGACCGTAGAGTGTACCATTCGTCATTTTAGCGTTCAGAAGGCTGCTCGCGAGCGCCCCCTTTGCGGCCGTTATGCGCCCTCGATCCACTTCTGCTGAGCCCGCACTGGGGCGAGCCCTGGGCTGCGTTCCACTCCACTTTTAGACACACACTGGCGAACTTCCCTAAGCACTTCCCCTCGGGGGAATCCCCGCTGCCATTTTGAAGTGCGTTCCACTTCCTGAAGTGGACGAGGGAAGTTTATATGGACAGACCCTCGACCCCTCGATTTTGACCGAAGGAGCGAGTCTGCTTCATATGCACACTTCAGGCCGCTCCATAGACCACAATGCAACACGATTGTGACGTCATCGCAGATCGTGTTTAATTTATCTCCACCCCAAACAACTCTATAATATATATAAAATTTTGTTTTTACATTTATAACAGCCCAAACATACCTATATACATATAGAATGCTGCACCAAACAAATTAATAAGGGAAAAAATGTAAACAATAAACCAACTCCATAGCTGCTTCTAAGTGATCAAGGGCTTAGGACGTTCCTTTGCGGCCGTTATGCGCCCTCGATCCGCACTTCTGGGGTGAGCTCCGCAGCATACTTCTACCCGACAGTCAAAGCGGCATTACATCACGAAAGTGCGGATTCAGAGGAAGACCGCGAGGGTTTAGAGTGCCATTTGGGACAGGGCCGGACAGTTCTGACCTCTCGAAGTGAACAGATACCAACGAGATCAAAGGCAGATATCGCGTTATTCACACTCATGTGCTGTGTTGCTAATAAACATGGGGCAAGTTCAAGCTCAAACCGGGGAGGTCCTAAAATGGTGAGTGAGAGGTGGTGTTTTCAGCAGGCTCTGAAGTAAAACTTAAACTGCGCTCGACTGCACAATCCGACACAGCCGCCTCGCCGTCGCGAGAGTTTTTTGGCACATGTCAGCATGACATCAGAACAAGTCGGACATAACTCGGACACTTTTCTAACCGGCATGCATCTCGCGGTGATCGGTTCTGCGCAGATTTTGCTCATCTCAAACAAGCCTATTAACGCGATATCCGCCTTTGATCTCGTAGGTTTTATTTCCAGAACATGATGCATGATGGGATACACTAAGCCTCGAATAGCGCTCCGGAGCGGTATTGAGATAGTGTGGATTTAGTGTGCGTGAAGGGCACTGCGCTTTGCCGTTTTTAAAGTCGGCATGAAACGGAAGTAGCGATTGTTTTTTTTTTCTCTACTGTGACATCTACCCAAGTGAAACGGCATCTGAAATGAGAGGGCGGGACTTGATTTCGCCGTTCGGGTATTGATTGGATCTTTGGAAGTTGGGGCGTTGCTAACAAAATGGAGGCAGATCTGAATGCCAGTTTGCAGTTAGTTGTGGGGGGATTTCTCACTGGATTCACCGCCGACACCCTAGCATGAAGAAATGTATTTATTGAGGAAGATGAGGACGATCAACAGCACAAAACATACCTAACAGCACGCGTGCGAGAGAGAGACTTCCTGAATGACTGAGCGAGTCCTCCATCAGGTTAAGTAATATTCATAAAAAAAAATAGTTTGCGATGTCCTAAGAGTAATGTTGTGGTAATATCCTAATATCCTTTCAATTTGTAAGGGTAGTTTACTCCCCCATGGCTTGCGTCAGCACTGGTCAATGCATTGATTTCTATA